TTTATTTGAAATTGTTGGAGGAGAGAGATGTAAAAAAGTTCGGTTATGCAAAATAGGTTTACTGATATGGTGTTGCAGTCATGCATTGATAGACTACAGATCCAGTCAGTCTTGTCTTCTAGGATATTTTAATTTGTGGAATTGAATTATTTGAATTTTGTTATTTTAATTGGGTTGCTCCATTTGAAATTTTCCTATTTTAGTTTGTGTCCAATTGTTTTGATTAATTGAAATTTAATAATTTGGTTATGAATTATGATAGATTGAACTGAAGCTATATCTAATTTTAGTTGAAAGACTTTTGACAGATTTAATTTTTTTTGTAAAAAAATTTCCTATTAATTTTTTTGATTTAATAAGTTTGAAAATTGATAAGAGAACATTATACAAAATATGTTGCATATTGTTTGTGTTGCTATCTAATTGACCTTTTTTATGTAACTGTAATTATAAAAAAAAATATTATTGAATAATATTTTTTTGAAAGGAATCTTAATCTTATAATTTTAAGTTATAATAAATTTTATGTTGCCCCCATTGGACTCCGCCCCTGCATGAAATAACCCAAAAAAGTTACCTTTTTTGTTTTTGTTTTAATCTGGGATATCTTGGATCTTAGTGGGTACTATGATTCTATTGTTAGTGTGGCTCGTTTCTTGGAATCAAGAGGAATGATAGAGGATGCTCTGGAAGTTGCTACAGATCCTGACTACAGATTTGAGCTAGCCATACAGCTGGGTAAACTAGAGATTGCAAAAGTAAGTGCTTTTGATGAATTATATGTACCCTTACTATCAATAAAGAAAGTATATGTCCCTTGTAACAGCATACATCCTCTTGATTACACATTCATTTTCTCTGTTAACAGGACATTGCCTCAGTAGCACAGAGTGAATCCAAATGGAAGCAGTTGGGTGAATTAGCTATGTCCACTGGAATGGTATTCTCTTTGTGAGATCTTTACTGCCAGATGATATTCTAAACTGTGTACATGATTGTTTTTCAAACTGCGAATTTTTCCTACGAAGTGAAGGAAGACATTTTTTTCTTTATTAATATTTTTTTTTGCTTGATTTGTAGCTAGGACAACTGGTCCCACTGAAACACCTTTCTTCTACTATAGATGTAGATGAGCAGCAATTTTTTTTTATATTTAAAGCCATGTCTGTATTCTAAACAAGTTTTCTACTTAGGTGTAGAATTCTGTTTACAAGTTTTCTTGTGCCTTTTCTGCAGATTGGATGTGTACATTATTAACGTACACGACAACTGGTCTGTCAGTTAAAACCCAGCCCAGTCCGATGGGCCAACCTGGAAACCCGGTGGCTAGGCCGGGCCGGTTTTCCTGTTGGATTGTTTTGGTCAAAAACTCTTTGAAACTCGCATGACCCAGATGGGTCGAATATGTGATATAAAACCCAATCCTTTAACCCTAAAATCTGATGAGCTTACCAAATCATTTACCAAATTTTGTATCCCAAATCAATGTGGGTGGTTGAATGGGTCCACTAACTCCACTAAACATTCAATGCATAGGATTTTGACACATCATTTGAGATATAAGATTTGGTAAATAAATTTGGGCATTATAGATTTATCCAAATTTGATTCTCGACCACACCCTTGAACAGTCAAACTATACTCTCTCATGATTACAGCAATCTGCCTTCCATCTTCTACCATCCATCATTGTCTAGACAGGTAATATCTTTCATCTCTATCACCTCACCGCCTCAAACCCATTGCCATCTCTCTTTGTATCTCCCCGGCTTGGGCTTTATCCATTTATTCTTAACTTTGATCGGCTTTCATTTATTTGTTATGGCATTATGAACTGTTCCATTCGCTTCAACTTGTATTGGTAGTTGTTTATTTGCACTAGCCTAAAATCTCATCTATTGTTTTTTGAGACTTACGGTTGGGGTTCCGTAGCTTGATAGCTAAAAGTAAAGTTGTAAAGGTGATTTTCCAAGGCCACTTGCTGCCGCCGTCAAAGTGCTATCCCGCTTTGTTTGAGCTTGTTGCTTTTTTTAGTTTGAATGAATGTTTAGATGGGTTATGAGATTATGATCTCAACTTGCAATTTTTTTTTTTTGACATTATTATTAGTATTATTATTATTATTATATGTAATTACTTTTTATTTTCTATTATGTTAGTGGTCCAACCAATTGACCCAATAGCGTATGACCCGATTCCTTTGTTGGGTTCATGTCCGATCTGGGTTTAAAAACTATGCTTGTTTCTCCCCGGTATAAGCTTTGTTCTTACATCTCATAAATTTCATTTTTTATCAATACATTTTGTCTGATCCATTGCAGTTAGAGATGGCAGAGGAATGTTTAGAGCATGCAAATGACTTGAGTGGCTTGTTGCTACTCTATTCTTCTCTCGGAGATGCTGAAGGAATATCAAAACTTGCAGCTCTTGCGAAAGAGCATGGGAAAAACAATGTTGCATTCCTTTGCCTATTTATGTTGGGTAAATTGGAAGAGTGCCTGCAGCTTTTGGTTGACAGGTAATTTTTTTGGCTGCTTAGACATCCTGCAGGCAGCAGGCATACTCAGTTCTCATTTAGATGCTATTCTGAATTGCAATCTCTTTGCAGCAATCGGATACCTGAGGCTGCTTTGATGGCACGGTCTTATCTTCCAAGCAAGGTGTCAGAAATTGTAGCAATTTGGAGAAAAGACCTCCATAAGGTTAGTAGTGGGAAGCCTGGATCATCCCATCAACCAGAAATCAAATGAAGTTGACTATATGGGTTATAGATGACTTGGAACTTTTCTTTTGGATTTGTCTCCTGTTTGCAATTAGAGCACTGGAGGGGACAACGACTAATTGGCCATTGGGTTATGATTTAGGAAAAATAACTTTCATTTTGGCATAGTCTATAAAAGGGGATTGTACTTGTTCTGAAGGAGTTCATCATAACAGTGATAAGTGCATCATGCAGCATCTTGGCAGACCATTTTTCATTGTAAATGCAACTTAAAATTCTCAGGTAATGTACAAAACATAAATAGTTTATTAAAATTCTGACTGAAAGGTTTGGTTAACAATATTGTGATCAAAGGTTAGAGAGACCACATATTACATATTCAGGCCTATCACCAGCCCTCCCCCAGTTTGGTGATGCTTTGTGGTGCATGTGAAGTAGCTCCTCCACGAATGAGCATTTTCATAAAAAATTCAAACTTCTTATTAGGATCTGGTGATTCTATGAAAGCGGCTTTAATGTTGAGCTCTGAATTTTCTATTTGTCCTAAAGGGGGGGGGAGCATTTATCATGGTCAAATATCACATGCAGGTCAATCAGAAAGCTTCAGAATCTTTGGCTGATCCGGAAGAGTATCCTAATTTGTTTGAGGACTGGCAAGTTGCACTTGCTGTTGAATCAAAAGTTGCAGAGACAAGGTTCCGTTATGCAACTTTCTACTGCCTTTCCCTTTTTTAATATTGCTATTGTTTCACTAACATGACATGCAAAAAAACCCAAATAAAAAAATTTCACATTCCCAAAGTTTGAAACTTCATTTGTGTTGCCCATGGATACTGATGGGGCAATGCTGCGAAAACTTGTGTATGTGTTGGGAAGTTTGGAAGCATGGTCAGCTATTGGCATATCAGATTCCACGACTAAATGCCTGACTTTATGAATTAGGGGCTTTACACATAGCAAGATGTGAGTTATGTTGATATTTTCAATTGAGCGTGGCATTCATTATTCAATCTCCTCAAATTGTTTTGCAGGCGCACGTATCCCCCGGCAGTAGAGTATGGAAACTATGCTGATAGGTCAAATGTAAACCTTGTGGAGGCTTTCAGAAACATGCAAATGAATGAAGAGGAGCCCCTTGAAAATGGAGGGTTAAATTATGAGGTATTCTCTGCCATGTATTTTTATTTTGTGAAATAAGGTTTGTGTTTCTTTGTAATAAACAAATATGATAGACAAAAGAATGAGAAAAGGTGCTGTGCTTCTACTGATCTTGGCTTTATACTGAATTTAATTATTGTTTTCCTTTTCTTCTATGTGTTTTTTTTTTCTTTTTGGCTCTAAATGATCGTTAACTTACCAGCAATTATTAATTTTTTTAAACCTTCAAAGAGGGCCTTATTCTTACTAGGACTGTTTGCTCCTTGGAAAAGCGAATTGGATATGACGTTCCAAGTTGTTTATGGTTCCAATATTTGTACAGTTTGACTGTCTTTTCCTTATAAATCAACTGACTGCATTAGATTGTGGATTCTTAAATTGGGGCTGAATTTTTGTTTTTCCTTTCTTCTTCCTGCCCAGGATGCGGAACAGAATGGAGATGAGGAGCAAGAGGAGGGTCAGTATGATGGGCAAGAGGAGGGTCAGGAAGAGGGCCAAGAAGAAGCTGTTGTGGTGGATGCTGACTCTACGGATGGCACAGTACTCGTTAATGGTAACGAGGCTGACGAAGAGTATGGTACGAATAATGAAGGAAAACCGTCAGCCTAAAAGCAATTGGTTGGGCCAGTGTGAAAATCCTAATTTTGTTGCTGGTGATTAATTGTATTTCTCTTAATTGCCATGTTTTGGCTCCCATTTTCACAGTCCAAAGCTTTTTTTCCACTGGTTTCTCGCTGTTTCTTCCAGTGCTTGGTGTGTTCTTTATGTTGATATTACCTGTATCAGCTCATTTTTGGAAGCATCATGGGAATTGAAAATACGATTAGTTGAATCATATTTGGCTGCATATTATATGGTTGCATATCATATTTAATTAGCTTTATATCATTTAGCTTTATAAAAGAATTTTTGCTGAGAGAATCTTGTTGCCAGTTTTTGGACTCTACATGATTTCTGGGTCTGAATTGTAGCTCATTTCCCCCCTCCTTTTATGAGTATCGGCATCCGGGAGTGATACATGATTTTCTGGGCCTTCTAATTTTATTGATGTTACTCATAGATCTTTGGATTGGAGCATTTAATTTTCCATTGGACATCATTCCGTTACAGTTTGGTGTTTATGGAGTCTGTTATAGTGGCCTCTTTCTCTCCGCAGTTTGCAGTGTAGCATGAAATTCAAGGGCTTATTGTTGTACCTTTTTCTTGTCTTTTTTATGTGTTTTCTTCTCATTTTTCTTTCTCTCTGTTTATATCTCTCTTTCTTTGGGGCATCCATTCGACACTATTATGCATGGAAATTGAATGTGCTCGTGTCTTACTTTTCTCCTCTTTATGCTGACTTGGCAGTGCTTACTCCACGTCACTAGGTCCAGTCAAGACATCCAGCGGTATCCATCCCTTTATTAAGGTGAGACTTTTATCATTGCCAGAAATAAGTTTTCTTCCATGTTTTCATTTCATTACTTATGTCACTCAACGGAAATGGAGATCTTAGAGAAAATATTCGTAAGTGGATTTGTTTGAAATGATGGAGTTTCCATCCTGGCTATTTTTCATTGTGCAGTTAGTCAATACTCCGCACAATGTAGTTGTGTGCGTGGTGAAAAGTATTTTGAGTTGTCTTAGGGTGCACAATGGCATGATTGCGTTTTAGGTTTTACTTTTGCTCAGTAGCTAACTTGAGAATGTCTGCACATTCCACTACTTTTTCAAAATCTTTGGGCTTAACTTTGGGGAACTTACTTGTGTGTACTCTCTCCCCGTCTAAATCTATTATCTTCTTTCTGGAATAACCATGCCTCAATGATTCGCTAGATGTGCATTCATACATAATGTACAAGATTTCAACCTTGCTCCAAGATCTACTGGAGGTTTTAGTATTTAGCATTTCTTGTTTAGTTTACCCTCTTATTTATTTACCTGTTTTTCCTAGGTTCCTGGAGGTTGCCTGAAAGAGACTAATGTGGGACTCTACAGGTGGTGTGATTTTGTAGCGCAGTTAATCTTTCATCGGACACATACTATAGCCAGTATTTTGAGCTTCTGATACCAGTTTAGTTACTCGTAGTTCTATCATATTCTTTGGAGGCCATTTCTTTTTGTTGTGAAATTTTTACATACCATGAGAATGTAGAAACATTTGTATCAATGATGGTGTGTTGGCTATCGTCTAAGAGTTTTTTACCCATCGATCTTTCTGGAGATTCTGTGCAGTTTTGAGGTGTGAAGTTACAGTTGGTGACTTTTTTGATCTGCTTTTGGCATAAGCATATCAACATGTTATTACATAACAAAGTTGGGCTGCTAAAGGTTACCCTTTATGCAATCTCTGTATTTGGAGATGAAATGGTTATATGACAGATGCTATTAACTTGATCAATTTGGTACTTTTCTGGGTCATAACTGACGGGTAATCATAATGTATTCCTTCTGTTAGCGAATGTGATATCTTATAGTTGTGTGGTGTAAGCAATTTATCATATTGGTTAACTGACTGTAGACAGTGACCATAACATCATTTTGTAAGGATTTATTTAACATAATGCAGAGCACGTCGCACACCACCCGGCCGACTCCTCGTCGATCGCTTGGATCAAGATTGTTACCAAAATTGGGCCACTCTAGCTGGTGTTTCAGCGCTGACCAAGAAAACCAGCGCTCAAGCCAAGATTTGGGCAAAAGTCAAAAGGTCAATCTTACCATCCAAGGTCATCTCTAATAAGGAATTAGATTCTCTTCATTATTTTTTTACACAAGTTCACTCGTGTATGAGTGAGGGGTGTATATATAAATAATGAGTTTTATGTGATGATTTTTTTTTTTAAATACAGAGCATATTTAATAAATTTTTGAAATAATGAAGAGAATATTTTAGACAATTCTAATACACTCTCTATTCTAATAAAAAAAAATTAGTCTTATAGTCAATAGTATTTAATGAAGAATGTATCTGTGTCATCTTTTCATTGATTAAAAATATAATAGAAAGTGAGTTGAATTTTTCAAACGTGGAGAATCAAATAATGTTCTTTATTTTAAATAAGTCTAAATATATAATATGTCGGAGTTTAATTTTTGGTGATTAACTCTGTAAAATAAAGAGTGGAAATTGTCTAAATATATGGTAATTTTGTTTTTTTAACTTAATAGCATACACTAATACATCAACCAATTAGTGATGTTAGTATTAGAATAATAGAATCACACTTTATATTAATCTTGAACCAAATATAATATAATAGAGATAAGATAAAATACTTAATCCATAATTACCACCACTACAAATAAACATAGAATTAATTATTCAATTGAAAAAATATTAATTATAGCCGAATCAAACATCCCCTAATCTTTTTCCTCACCATTTTTCTTTTTAGCTTTTCCTAAAAGATTTTGTTCTTAAAGGTCACCGCACCACAAAAAACAACAAAAGAAGCAAAGAAAGGAGACTAATCCTACGGGGGTAAATCAGTCCAATCGCTAAAAAATCCATTTTCATTTCAACAAAAAGCAAATATGGGAAAGATACGATATGTCCCTTGCATTCACATTTCCTTTGCTTTTGGTCTAGGGTTTTCATAGATCAATCGGAGAAGAGCTTCTACTCTCACTCCTTGAAACTCTACACCAACACGAGCTAGACAACCAGAGATAATCCGGAACACGACCTGCCAGGTATCGATCACTCTTTGTCCTCTCTCGCTCTCATTTCTTTTGTTTCTCTCTCTCTCTCTCTCTCTATAGAATATGAGATTGAACCCTCTGATGGTTATATGTAAAGATTTGAATTATATTGATTTCGCTCGTGAATTGTTGTTGTATTTGTTAAATGGTGATTTGTATGTACCATGTTTTAGTTATTATCACTTTGTTTATATACTTGAATGTTATGTATATGGGTCTGGTTGAATATTTTAAGAAATGATGCTAATGAGCTTCGTTTGATATTCTTTTGGTCCATTTTGGTAGATAAAGCGCTGAATCTATTCATATGTCCAAATATTTAGGACCCATTTCAAGAAATTGACATAGGGAATCTGTTGGTTGCTGAGAAAGTGCTTGAAAATTTATGATTTGGGACCATAGAGAAACTACGAGCGTACTCAAATGACAATGATACGCATTCTTTGAATGGGTCCAGTTATTCATTTCCTAGACGCAAATTGTTTTTGAATATTTTACGGGTGATATTGATATTTTGGCAAATGACCAGCTGTAACTTAATATATGTGTGAGATTCCTTATTCCATTATATGGGTCATTTAGTTGGAATTTAAAAAATAGATTAGATGTCAAGGAAATTATTTGCAAATATACTATGTTCGCTAGGGCTACCTCCTATTATTGTCTGGAAAGGTTTGATGAATATTCAAGTAGGACTGTGAGTGAGAGCCTCTTGTGTTTATGATTTGGAACTCTGCAATTATTTGTTATACCAAGATGAAGATTGGTGGATTTTTCTAGTTTATGCTGAGCCATGATTTGTATCTCGTTATTGCCATTTCTCACTTTCATTTGATTTTGGGTTTACTGAATTTTTAAGAAGCTTCTGTTTTATTAGTCTTGTAAGCAGATTTTGCTGTTGGTAAATCATGAATGCATTCAAGTTGCCTTAAAATAAGAATTGCTTGCAGCCATAGCTGTTGTTCACATTGAGGCTAGCATCCCCTTTCTTTTTTCTCCAATGGTAGTTCTAAGAGCTGTATTGCAATGCAGAACTATAGGGAACATCCTCAAGCCAGAATTAGGGCTGCAAATGAATCAAGTGATTCATAAACAAGGAGAATTCCCAGCTATTCTATAACAAAGGGCTTTGGTCCAGTTTTACTGGCTTTACGTGCTTGAGTGACTTGGCCGCATGGCTCCCCCCCCCCCCTCCAAAAAAAAAAAATTAAAGCTAGTTGAGCAAACCAAACCCGATTTTTGGTTAATATAAATGAATAAGCTTGAACATGTGAGGAAAAGCTTGTTGTGATCTTGAACGATGCCATGCATTTTTGTAAAAATAGGCGAGCCGAGCTTGAACAACTTAGTACTAGGTTTGGCTCGGTTCATTTGCACCCCTAGCTAGAGTCAGACTGTTTGGAAGATTATCTTGTGCAATTGTGGATTTTTTGTAATAGAGCATTAGCATGGGAATTTTGTTTAAAGAGTAGGTAGACCTTAATACGTTTTGGCATACTGGGAAATCTTGCACCCCTCTTGTTCTTGCATTATTGAGTGAGGTTCAAGTTTTTTATCAGGCCCTGGAAGTGTCCATTAATTGTAGGGCATCCTTACATGTATTTTACTCCACCTGCCCCTTCTTTGTGGGAGGTGGGTTTTGGTGGGTAGAATATCTGTGATCGTTGTGAATGGTGGTGTTATGAAACAGAGATTGGCTGTTTATACGCTGCTCATACCTATTCATTGGATTTGCAGTGACCATTTTATTTATGTACAGAAAGATGAAATTATTAGCATTTAAACCTAAATAGAATTTTGTGTGCCTTTACCTAGATCTATACTTTGCACATATCATATCCACTGATAAAATACCAAAGCTGCTTTTCTAAATATTTGTCAAAGAGATATCAATGACTTAGTTTGATGAATTGGGAAGTCATGTTGTATTCATTTGCAGGAAAGCGTTAGAGCTGTTTAATTGATATTGTCATGACATATAATGTTTTTGCTTTTATTTTCATCTCCTTTCACGTACCCATTTTGTTTCTTTACTTTGTTCTGTTGTGCTGGAGCAATATGTGTACTTCATTCATGTGTTTACTCAGGTTACCGAGTGTTGTTGATTTCCTGCAGAAGTCGCCTTCCCATCAGACTGTTCTTTTCTTGGTTCTGGTTATTTTATTGGCCAATGGCAGATGCAGAAAATGCCGTTCCACTTTCAAAGAAAAGGGTTGCCGGAAGGCAATTATCCCGTGATAACCCGGGTCTTGATGATGAGGAAGAGGGTTCTGAACAAGAGACTGGAACTTTCAAGAGAGCAAGTGATGACGTGCTGGCAGGTAGAAAAATAGTCAAAGTTCGTCGCCATCAGACATCATCGACCCCATCAGCCCCTTCTTCTAATCCTTTTGCAGGCATCTGCCTGGTCCTTCCTACTGCTGCCAGTGCCACTCCAGCTGAAGTCACTGCCGAAGCAGGAGAAACAGTTTCAGATGAGGGAGTAGAAGGGAAGAATGATGTGAATAAGGAAATTGAGAAAGAAAAAGAGGAGAATGATAAGGAATCTGACAAGAAGGTGGACGTGGTGGTGGCTGAATCCACTGCAGATGAAAAGAAGACTCAGGTGGTTGACGAGGCAAACAAAGCTGAGATAGCTGATGAGAAGGCGGCAGAGGTCAACGAAACTGAGAACAGAAAGGAGGAGGAGCGTACAGATAGCCCAAGAACTGAGAGTGAAGATAAGAAAGATGCGAGTGAAGAAAATGTAGAAAAGAGTGGTGAAACTGCATCTTTTAGCTCATTTCATCAGCTGTCTAGTGGTCAAAATGCATTTACTGGACTTGCTGGAACTGGGTTTTCCAGTTCTATATTTTCATTTGGGTCAATTCCGAAAGATGGATCTCCACTAGGTTCTAGTTCTGGTTCTCTTTTTGGACTTAAAAGTGATCCGCCCTCTTTTGGTTTTGGTCTTTCTAGCAATGGAAATTCTTCTGTGTTTGGCAACACTGTGACATCCACTGCCAGTAAGAATGAGGGAAGGTCCATGCAGGAGGTTTTTGTTGAGACGGGGGAAGAGAATGAGAAAGCTGTCTTCACGGCTGATTCTGTGCTGTTTGAGTTTCTTGATGGAGGTTGGAAGGAACGAGGAAAGGGAGAACTCAAAGTCAATGTTCCTACAATTGGGACTGGAAAAGCTAGACTTGTTATGAGAGCCAGGGGAAATTATCGGTTGATTTTAAACGCCAGTCTTTATCCAGACATGAAGCTGACAAATATGGATAAGAAAGGCATCACTTTTGCCTGTGTGAATAGTATTGGTGAAGGGAAGGATGGTCTTTCTACATTTGCTTTGAAGTTTAAGGATGTTGTGATAGTTGAAGAGTTTCGTGAGGCTGTTGAAGAACATAAGGCTAAGGTGACACATGTTGCTCTGAAGACTCCAGAAAATTCTCCAAAGGCATCAGATGATTAGATATTGCTACGGATCAATTTGCAGAGAATCATTTATACTCATCAGGATGTGACCTGTGATAGCTTGCCCTTTCCACCTCTTATGAGGATTGAGGAAGAAGGAAAAGCAGTTTAGTTAGTTACTTGTAAGCCTCTGTAGTAGAGCTAGACTCATATCCATTTTGTTGTTGTTTACTTCAGTAGGCTTTGACAGTATTTCTGTTCCTTCTGGTAAACACTGGTTCAGAATGCATAACATTACGTTTATGGAGAGTTGGAATGCAAACAAAGTTTTACCGTTGTCCATTGATTTGGTTTATGCATCAGATGACAATGTTTCAGGTTGAATATGATAGGCATGTAACCTGTTCTGCCAAAAACTTACTGTTATGGACCGTATGGTATTCTTTTCCCTCTCCTTTCAATTGTTATTGTTGAGGTTTTGAATAGGTTGTGTTACGTATTTTAGTATAAAATTGTACTGCTGCTAGGAATTTACGGATGAACTTGTCTGTTGCATCCGGTATTCAAGTTTGGGTAGGAATAACCAACCACTATACGAATTTTGTTTGGAAATGCGGGAAGAAGATTTTGGTAGCTGAATTCTTGGTTCCAATACTATAGTAATACCATGTCGGTATTGATAACATGATATTATTAACCAATAATAAAATACCAAATGGACAAAGTAAATTCTATTTGGTTTGTTATTGACTTACATAGAAGATGAGTCATTAGTTATCTGTTTACATGGACGGAGTAGTTATTGATTTGTATAGGGTCTAATTTTTTATTTATTTATATATTATTGATCGGTGATATCGCATAGTAACGCTGGCGTTGTATGAATATTTTTTCGCTTCATATTGGAGAGAGAGAGAGAGAGAGAGAGAGATGAACATGTATATTCACGGGTGGCCAAAGTCACTGCTTTGCCCGTGACTACGTATTTGGAGATCTTGCTTTCTGGACATCCTATCACCTTGTTTCATTCTTGGCATCTTATTGTTCACGGGTTATGTGAAGACGACAGATAAGAAAACGATGACAAACGACTTTGAAGGCTACTACATTTATAATTATATACTAATTATAATCCTATGCCTGGAAATATTATGTAATATTAATAATCAAGTATTAATTGTATAACATCTATATATTATAAATAATTTTTTATTTTTTATTTTTTAAAATTAAAATAGACCGAAAGAAAAAAAAAGAGACGTAAGTTTGAATTAGTAATATTTTTTGATATTGAGAAGTGTGTTGGTTAAGATGATTGACATTAGGGGTCATGCAAAAAAGATGCAATTTTTGGATAAGAAAATTTTATTTTGGAATAAATTTTGCATCGTTTGATAAAATTGGATAATTATTGAATTAATTGCAACTGTTGTTATGTTTATATAAATATGCGATTCAAACTACTTATTAGATATACCGACAATAGCTTCGTGTCTAAAGACACTCTAAAATACTACAAATTGAACATTGATCACGTAATATTTATATTTTAAATAACAAATTATTTTTTCTTTAATTACACAATTTAAAATTAAAGTAAATATAGAGAACGAGAAGAAAAAGATAGGAGAGAAAAAGAAGAGCGAGATAAGTATAGATTAATGGAGATGTTTGACCTTGAAAAGTGTGTTGATTGAGCAGAAAAAAAAATTAAAATGAATTTTATATCATTCGATCAAAATAGATGAAAATTGGATCAATTTTGATCATGATTATACTTTTATAAGTTAAAAATTCAACTTTCTATGCTCTATTAAAAACTTAGAACGGATTATATTGATTAGCTCTAACTAGGGGCATGCACTATAGAATCTCTCTTTCTTCCCTCATGGGCAAGGGGGGGATCACTACTCGAGATAGTCACCTAACACCTTTTTGAGGATTCTCAATTATCTTTGTACTTTTAAAACTAATAGAAGACGATTGTAATATCATCTATATCGTTTGTAGGGTCTGATATATATGATCAAATGGAGTTCTTGAAATTCTGCTATTAGCGCGTATAAGATTGGGTTCACTTGACTTTTCCATCTAGTGAAGTCAAGTAATGCTAACCTAATCTAACATTGTTGTTGGATTAACAGTGAGCTTTAATAATGGATGTCGAGTTAATTATCAGTGACAATAATAGATTAGATCAGCAATTCTTTGTGATCAGTATTAATAGGTCACAATTTTTGAGTATTCTTTGACAACGCCAACATTGAAAGAAACTGTGTTTGCCTGCACCCATGACATCTTAATACATAATTTAAGAAAAGGAAAATATACCACAAAAAAAAAAAGAGAAAAAAAATTGACCTAAAAAGGAAATGCTCATCTGATCAGCAGTCCTCTGCATTCACACTATGAAGTCCCTCCTCCCCCCACAACAACACACAAACACAAACTCCCTCTTTCTTTCCAAAGGAAAAACAAAAAACAAAGAAAGAAACAGAAACAGAGAAAGGACCTCTAATGAATATAATGGCAGCCAGTGAACACAACACAATTTTAGTTGCTTAGGGTGATAAGTAGTTCTTGGTGCACATCTTTGAGCAGGATCCGACACAGTTTTCCACCACCTTTCCATCTGACACAAACAGGAAGAAAAAATGAAAAATTTGAAGAGCTGGGTGTGTGTGTGTGTGTGTGTGTGAGAGAGAGAGAGAGAGCGAGAGCGAGAGAGAGAGAGAGAGAGAGAGAGAGAGAGAGAGAGAGAGCATACTAGGGTCATGTTTGGTGCTCATATTGGAGCATGAGGAGTAGGCACAACCAAGCTTGCAGAAGCCATGGCTATCTGCATTAACATGTTGAGGTTGAGGGTTATCAGGAAATATGCACTCTTTTAAGCAGTGGGTGGTGCAGGAACAAAGATTTTGAGAAGGTTCAATCATACAGAAAAGGAAGCACTTGGCATAGCAGTCCTTGAAAGTGGCTGTGGACTGCCCTACAAGAATTCCCAAGACCACCACAGTCATTACAAGTGCCCTTAATTTTCTTCTCTCCATCTTTCATTACATTCAAGACAATATAGTTTTTCCATGGAGGGTTTATCTATCTACATTATATAGGTGGACACTGAGAGTTTACAACCAAGGAAATGATACACAGACCATAATCACTAAAAGCAGTGATATGATCAGTAAAATACTAAAATCTGTGGTAGCAGTGGTGCTCAATTTGGTGTAACCTAAAGTTCCTTTGCATGTGATGTTTTCTTGTCTTTTCTCAGTAGTATAAATTGTATAATTTAGAAAGGAAACAGTCTTTCTACTTGCAGAGTACATCTAATTCTCCCAAAACCCTGTAACGATAGGAGTCTTGTGCACTAACTACGCCCCTTCAGAAAAGGAAAATATACATTGATCCTCTCAGCTATGACCATTTTCTCAAGTTCCCCACCCAATTGTTATGTTTCTCCTATTGTACCTCCAACTATGAGTATTGGTTTCACCTTCCCCCAATTGCAGATGTCCGTTACAAATTGGATGAAAATTCTATCACTTTAACCAGAACTAGGTAATTTCATTTCACTTTGTTCCAAAATATAATTGTACATAGATATTTTTCATCCAAAACATAAGCGGCGTTTGATTTTGGGGCAATGCAAAACCAATTCAAGCAATAAGTGATCCAACCCATTCCCAAAGTTTATCAATTGTATAATTCTGCTTGAACCAATTAATTCTATAATTTTCATCAAGTTCGAGAATCAATCTTTGGATGAGAATAAAGTTGTTTATCATTTATCTCTTCTAGATCTTATTACGACTTTATAATCTGAATAAGAAAAAATATTTCCAGTTCTTAGTCTGAAACACTAATAGTTTTTTTCTTTTTTCTTTTTCTTAAGCATCAACAGTTATTAGTGTATGTCTTCAAGCAGGATTCCCCACAGCTGCTATGCTCTCTGCCAGAAAAAAAAAAAAAGAAAAAGAAAACTTTCCATTCGGGATACAGATTCAGTAGGCTTTGTTGCTTTAATAACACTAATCACCAAAATTTCTGCACCAAATCAATATGATTTGTAAGATTAATGAGCCCCATTGACTCCACCAAACATTCAATGATCGAGATGTTATCAAACCATTTGGTGCAATAGATTTTGTGCACACATTTCCTTTTGTGATGATATTGGTGTACAGGGAGTAAGCACAAACCGAGCTAGCAAAAGTCATGGACATATACATTCATTGCTAAAACCTAATTAGGTCCTGCAGTGATCTAATCTTGCAGGAATTTCATAGAGCAAGGCAAAACAGAGTAATCTGAAAGAGCAGCCCCTGAACTGAGCCTCCTACACAAAGCGGCATAGATTTGGCGAGCCTGAGTTTAACATTAGAGAATTTGGGAGATAAAAAGAAGGATAAATGAGCTGAAACTCACTTAATAAATGAGTTGAAACTCAACTAAACAAGATATGTACACGATATCACCCAAAGTTGGATATGAATTGAGTAAATTTTGACTAGATTCAACCACACGAGTCTAATAGGTCAAGAAATTACCAGTCATCACTTCACCAAAGTTTTACCCACTAGTATTTTGAAACAAAAACAAACTAAAGAAAGAAATTCTTAAAATGAGATGAGACTCTTGCTTTAATAAAACAGTTGAGCCAATTACACTTGAAAGAAACATGTGGGAAAACCTAAAAAAGAACATTAATTTAAAGCTTCTACTGATAAATATTGGATGCTTCTCTAGCTGCTCTCCTCAGCCCATATTCTGACTGTAGACAAAGAAGCACGTAAGAGAGAGAGAGAGAACTACTTGTACTTCTTGTTGCAATTCTCGTAGCAGGAATTCACACATCCTTTCAATGCATTCTTATCTGCAACGTTAAATGAAACTCATAAGAAAGGATCAAAATTTTATTTCGATGCTTATTTCGGCAATTTAGAAAACGAAAACGTTTTAATATATTTAAAAAATATTTCAACCCGTTTCAAAAATAGAATAAAAAAAATAAAAATTATTTTTTCAAAACATTGACCAGAATATACCAAAATATCTTGAAACATTCTGAAATAATTATGCAAATATATTAAAACATTACAAAAAATTTCAAAATATTATAAAACATCTCAAAATATTAGAATATCGATTGATCGCTCATTCGTTTCGATTTCCTTATAAACGAAAAAATATCGGATCCTAGCCGTAAGAATCTATCATAACATTGAGCATTACGTATAAATCAATGTCGAGCAAAAAAAAAAAAATCATATACCAGAGGTGAATTTGTTGCAGAGAGAGTTTGAGCAGTTGAAGGTGCAATCAGAGAGAGAATCCAAGACCGGACTTCCACACTCCTTCAAGCATTGGCTAACGCACAGAGGGCTTCGAACCAGAAAGCACTCCGCTTCGCATTTCGCAATGCACCTCTCTGACAAGTGGTCGTCAGCCTTCACGGCAACTCCAGCTAGTATCCCCATCGCCATTGCCATCGCCACAAGCCTCATTACATTCGCAGCCATTGTTGCCTCTGTCTCCCTCTCTTGATCGACTGAATTTATAGGCTCTTAGGCCTCAGCAAAGGAGGAAAGGACATTAACTCGGTGCTGATTTGTAGGCAATACGAAGGAATCGTATCAGATTTTGCATTTAGTTGGAGGAGAGAGAGAGCGATGATCAACAGTATTTTGAAATTGAAAAGGCGGTGATAACGGTTGTTTTAAGTGAAAATAAAGGAAATCACAACCGTTGCTTAAATCATGGGAAAACAATAATATCCTTGCATTATGTCTTGCATTATATTATATTAGTCACATATGTTTATTGGGATTAAGATTCTCTCCATTACATTTTTCCTTAATTTCGGTCAATGATAAAACAATCACCGGTGACGCCCAAAAAAATAGAAACAATAAATGAAACTTTTTTTTAATATCAATAATAAATTTATTTTTTTAAAAAAATATAAAAATATTAATTAAGTTATTATATTCAATTTTTTGTTATTATAGTTTAACTTTTTTTTTCCCGGTAAGTATTATAGTTTTAACTTGATGGTAAGAAAGAGAGAGCAAAAAAAGGGGTGAGAAAGATGGAAAAATTATAATGGTAAATTTGAATTTGACTTTTTGGGGGGTTAAAATTTGATTTTTAGTAGCTTTAATTTTATTATTAGTATTTTTTTTAAAAAAAAATTAAATTTTACTGACTTTTAATTTCATGGATAAATTAATAATATACACCTAAAAATTATGGCGTTTTACTTAAAATAGGGCTTAAACTCCAAACTTTATTGGCCTAATAGTTGCGCTCGTTTTGTATACACAGGTGAGGAGCCTACTAGTAAATTGTGGGTCCCATAAGTATTAATGCTAAATATGATTGCCTGAAATTATATGAAAGTATAATTGAGAGAATTTAAATATTTTTATTGTGATAATTTTAATTATACATGCCATCGTTATTCACGAATCAATTACACAATTCAACTACAATGTAATTTGTGCACATTGTATTTGTGGTGTTTTCATAGTGTTCTTCCATTTCCTATTATTATATCTCGTTATTTTTTATTTCATAGATTTCTTGGAAATAGAAACAAGTAAATTAAAAATACAGGTGACAATTTTCAACAAAATACATTGGCACAACACTAACCCAACATGTCAAAACCAAGTGGATCTTGTTTTGGCACTAATCAGACCCAAAGGTATTAACTGATTGAATCCATTTAGTTTGTACATAAAAATATTCTATTTTTGTTTCTTCTTTTTTTTTTTTAATTCTTGATTTAATATTGTATGCAAGGTTTTAGTGCTAAATGGGTTTTGATTTGATTTTATTACAATATGGACCATGACCTATGTGTGTGTGGACCTATTGAGAGAAAAATAGGAGCTAATCCTATAGTTTTTGGTTTACGGGTACACGAAAACGATCCAAATACTGCAACAATTCAAAATGATACTATCTGAATATGAGACTGAATTAAGATAATATCATCTCGAGTATGAAACGACACAACTCACATGACATTACTCTTCCACATATAAATGAAAAAAAAAAAAAGTTGTATGACCAAACGATTTATGCCGATCCTCGTCATTTTAGGATTTAAAGCCTATATATGGGCTTATTGTCCATTTTTATATAACAACATTTCTAAGCAGGAGAGATAAATATATTCCCATGTATGAATGTGACATTAATATTACAATTTGGCTCCTTTCCCATTCCATAAAAAATGGACAATACTACAATTTCTCTTTAAAGTGCCAGGACTGATCCACCTTGAAAATTCAATTGAGTTCAAATTTTGAAATTTAAGGGTACTAATTTAATTAATGGATTGTGATGATTAATGTAGACAGATCCTAATTATTCAAATTGGAATTAAAGCATCATTTCAAATCTGGTGAAATTGAAGCAATAAAATTATACATACCAACTGTGTATACAATATACCAAAATTCTTCATCCCAATGATGTGGCAGATTAACGGGGCTCACTTATCTAATACTTGTACGCTTACCACAAACTTTAAAAAAATTCTCTTTCAAATTCATTTAGTTTTTCAAATACACGTCTAAAGACTTGTTAAAAGAATTTATGGATTTATCCCTCATGAATATCTTAGTCCCAGTGTTGATGAATTGTCTTTGATCGGACCGAGTAGGAGATTAATTGAAGTGCGCGTAAGTTGGTCCGGATACACCTGACTATTGAACCAAAAAAAAACAAAGCATTCACCTTCAAGCCTAAATCTAAGATGTGTCTCCACTTCTATCTTTCTTATTTCACATATTCACGACAATTATTTCACATCTTTAACACGAACCGAAAAAAATACACTTTTTGTGTAAAATTAGGACAAATCTAAATAAACAATCAGTCCCTAGTTGTATAAACTACATATGCACGACAATAGTTTCACGTCTTTAACATGAATCAATAATAACACGCATTTTAACAAAGAGAAGACATCAAAAAAGGGTTATCATACTTGTCCCGTCGCGTTCTACTATCTAATAGACATGGTGGATTTAATTAACAAAATTCGATCAACAAACTCGGAGATATTAAATAGATTCACAATCTAAGGTTTCCAAGAATGATTCTTAGTCGTATTATTCCTAAATATTTATCTTGAAAATTATAAAATATAATACAATAAAATAATAATAGTAAGAAAAAAAATTACACGTGTCACTTACGTGTCACATAACCAAATTAATTTTTGGCATCATAGTCTTAACCCGTTGTCTGTGCTGTCCAAGCTAGTGAATTGCAGCCATCGAACTAGATTTTATGCATCTCAATTTATCGTAAAGGTGTAAATAGGTGCATTAAAGGTGTTATTCAAGTGTGTTTGGCCTATAAATATTGTGCCTTTGGAGGATGGGATGCAATAGGTCATCCAAGATCAAGTGTGAGCAGTGGGTAGGAGAGAGAAAATCAGATCTTAGGCATGAAAGGGAAGGGAGGTATTGGAGCAGTCACCATGGTGGTGCTGGTGATGATCATACTATTCACTGGGCATGCCACAGCGGAGTTCAAAACTTGCTTTGCAGCTTGTATTATTCGATGTGCTATAATTAGTGACAGATTGCCGTGCGCCGTTAAATGCTTGGCAAGTTGTATTACTCACAAAACTTCAGATGAACTCTACTACTGTGGCCTTGGCTGCTCGGTAGACCAGTGTGCCAAGTTTGGTGATGGTATCTTCTCTCTCTCTCTCTTTGTTTTCGTTTTTAACGAGTTTGGCCGGAGAGTTAAAATTGTGTACGACACAGCATAAGAAAATTTAATTATTTTTTTCTAGAATCAACTTTTAATATTTACCTCTTTCAAATTCCGTTATAAACGGGACTCTTGTGAGGCGATTTGTTTTTGTGTTGTTCATGTACTGAATCAAGTGCATATCCGAGTTTTTTGCAGAAGTTGATAAAGTGGGGAGCTGTGTGGACAATTGCGAGAACAGTACTTGCGACAGGAAGATGAAGAACTGATCAATACTTATAATAGTTTGTAGTTCTTACAGAACTTGTATCCACAGTGGGATGATAGTAATTAAACATAGTCAATCTAGGATTGTTCAAGTGTAATGAAGCTGTTGGTTTCTTTTGTCAGTGTGGAGCTATGGAATTTTCCACCTTCTACTAACTTCTCCAGATGCTTATAATTTAAGAGTTCTCCATCGTACCAAAAAATAAAAAAAAAAATTGGTACCATACTTCTATTTATTATATTTATAAATACTGTGGGTGTTTTTATCACTGTTGTTATACCAAAAAAATGGTAAAAATAATTATCACAAATATGATAAATTTCTCACAAAAATAATAATTTTTTTATATCAAAGAAAAATAATAAAAATAATTACTAAAACAATAATAAAATCACGGATAAGAATGGTAAATTACCTACAAAAATAATAAATTTTTTAATTAATTATAAAATAATTTACAAAAATTATAAAAACATCTATTAAAATAATAAATTTTAGAGGTACATTACCATTTTTTTTATCGGTACCACAGTGAAGTACATAATTTAAACTAGACATGTCCTAGATAGAAGCAATATGGCAGGGTACTAGCATTATTGGCTACAACCCTCCATACTGTTTGGCTAAATTTGAGGGTTCTATAAAGAGGATCTTATTTGCCTCGATGATCTCCCATCCACTAGTGTTGTTGCCCAATGGTGCACTTGTATGCCAACTTTAACTTCTGGTTTACTTTCTTTTTTAACCAATAATTACCTTTCCAATCATGCCATTTTTAGATTTATAGTTATAATATAAATTCAAAATGTATGTAAAATCATTTATAAATCACACGTACGACTTAACCAAGAAGATTTAAGGACTTGTGAAAGTTGTTGAATTTCATATGGACAGATTTGGGTCCTCTCTAATTTTCAATAATCAAATGATTATTCACTAATCTCTGAATGGTGAAGATTCTAGATTATTTAACTAATGTTTTATAGTTTAACCTTATGTTGTACTAAGATCATTTAGGTCATACGACTTATAGTTTAATATTCTAATCATAATAAACTTTTTACCAAAAAAAAAGCACGTGTGTTTTGCAATGGACGTCTTAGTTCAAGTTTACATAAAAAACAACAGCGGTTTAGATCATTTAGGTCTTACGATTTATTTTACAACTTATAGTTTAATTTTTAACCATAACAACTCTTTTAACCATCTGTTGAAAAGGATGGGTAATGATGTGTAAATCTATAACAAAAACTGAACCATCTTTTAATTGTTATGTCTAACTTTCGAATAAATATTCAATATAACAGAAGTATTACGTCAATAGTATATTACCATAAAATAATAAATTTTAAAAAATAAAGTAAATTATTTTTTTATATGAAGTAGTTATTATATTGCACAATTATTAAATTAGATTGAATTTGTTTGTTCACTTTTTTCGTTATTATTAAACGATGACAAGAAGTAATAGGGTTGACAAATTACATTGAATAGTTTTTCCTATGATAAGCCATTTTCTTTTGTCTTTAATAGGGTATAAAATGTACACATTTTTTATTTAATTATTTTTATTTTTTAATTAATAACTATAAATAAATTTATAAATAAATTACAATTGTGTCTGAAATTTATTTTTCATATGCTATCAAAATGAACAAAACCTTATCATTTAATTGTTATAAAATTGGAGAGAGAACACCGACATTAAAGACTTCAACCCCATGTAGACATGCTGATTGGTAACAGGCGACTTACCCAAAAAGCGAGAAGTCAATAAAAATCTATCCGACCCATATTCTTCTCTTTTTTTTTTTAGTACCTACCAAAATCTAGGGTTTTCCTTCACCCTGACGTTAACCCCAGATAGATCACATCCCAAAAACCTTACTTTATCACCAATTCAATACAATACTCAACTTAGGGTTTCGATTTTGTGGTCTAAGTTTGGGGATTCGATGATAGTTGTGTGAATTGAGTAAAGAAGATTTGGATTTTTTTTTTCTGTTGGGTTAATTCATGGCGGGTGTTGAGGAAGAATCGGTGGAGTATGAGAGTGATCCGGAAGAGGCAAAGTTGTCTTTGAAGATGCGGAGGAGGGAAGCGAGTGATGACGAGGAGGAGGAGGGGGAGGAGGAGAGAGAAAATAGAGAGAAGCTGCTGAGGAAGGTCGATTCGGAAGGTGAATCGGATGGGCAAGGTGCCGCGGCAGAGTACGATGACGATGATGAAGAATTAGATACGGAGGAAGAAGAGGAAGTAGAGGAAGGGACTGCGGAGGAGGAAGAGGGGGAGTATGAGGAGAGAGAAGGCGAGGTTGGTGGAGATCATGGTCAAGTGGCGGATGCGGTGGCAGAAGGAGTGGTGGAGGTGGAGAAGGAGGTAAGTGGGGATGGGGGTAGTAGAGCTGGTGGAGATGTTTTGGAAGTTCAGCAGGAGGTAAATAGCATTGATCAGGTAAATGAGGAGAAGAAAGAGAATGAGCCGTTTGCGGTGCCAACGGCTGGTGCTTTCTATATGCACGATGATCGTTTTCGGGAGTATGTCGGCGGGCGACACAGGTATTGACGCTAGGTTTAGGTTTTTGATGTTTATGGAAGTGATTTAATTGCAATGCAATCTCAATTTTCTTTAAAAGCACATAGATAATATGCAAGTTGAAGTTCTGAAGCCTCAATCTTCAATCCTCAATTGATATAGTAGTTATTGACAGTCCAATAGTCAAGTTAAAGTTCTTAATGAAAAGTAAGCTTTACTTGAGTTAAAACACGAACTACTTATTACCACCCCTGGGAGATAGGTGGCCCTCCATGCCCCTCTAAATCTGTCAGCGCCTTTGCCCTTTGGCTTTGATTGAGGAATCATGGTAGCACTAGATTGTTCTAATAATATTATTAACTTTGTTATTCTAATAATATTATTGACTTGGTTATATTAGAGTAGATTACTCATCACACTTGTTTTGCTCCATTGATGCTTATGCATAAGCATCAATTTATCTGCATTATGGTTCCACTTAGAAAATGGGTTTGGAGCGGCAAATGGAGACTGCATGTACCCCAAGTGAACAGCGATTTGGGGTCACACAACCCTAGTTGGGTGGGTTTCCGACCTATATCGACCAAATTTCCATACTCAAATAGAAAACATGACCCTAAATCGACCCAGAATCTAGGTAGCTCAAATTGTAACCCTAAACACAAATTTTGACCTTAACTAGTGGTTTATTTCTTTATTTTTCTCCATCTTTAAACTTATATTGGATTTGTTAGGATTTGAATTTTGAATTTCTTTATCATATAAATATGTGACCATTAACTACTATTATCACAAGTATTAGCCAGTCCCTTATTGTGGGTAGGAACAAGAACTGCGAGTCAATTTACTTTGTGATACGGGCATGGATACGAGTACTTTGTACGATACTTTCTTCGAATATATGGTACAACTAGGGTAGACTGAAATGATATGTTGTTTTGGATCAAGTTCCTTTTGAAACTCTTATTCGGATCTCTTTCGCAATCATAGGATATCATAGATGATTATGCATCAATTACTATTTATTTTACATTTGTAATAAGAGTTTGAAAAGCTGGCCTCCAAGCAAACAAGTATAGAACTTTGAAACTTTATATGCTTCTGATCATATGAAAAAGAAAGCAAGCTTCTATTATTAAATGTTTATTTTGCTACACAGTTTCTGTTTCTGTAGTTAATGGGTCAAAAATCTTCAAGTGATTATGATCATACATCATTTGACCAATCAAAAGAGAATCTAAGTTAAAGAAAAAATAACAGATTTCAGTCAGTTGGAGATGAGAAATTAATAAATAAAAAAAAAGTTATAGAAATTAAGATTTAAGAATGACAGTTTCTTACTCTGTCCTTGATTTTTTGTTTGTACTGCCTTGGTGTTATTGGTCCTTGCAGTCATGCTATGTCAAGTGATATGGATGTCTTTATATCATACATTTATGATATTTCTTTTGTTTAGGCGAACACGTGGTGGAAGGAAGCTGTGGGAGTCAAAAGATGACAGCAAATGGGGGCATGACAAGTTTGAGGAGTTGACTACACAGCAAGGGCATTATGAAGAGGTGAATAGTTCTACTGATGTGGTATCTGACTGATGAACATGGGTTTTAAGGGGCATTTCAAAACACTGCCCCGTTTTAACCCAACCACCTGTAAAAGTAACGTAAAGCTCTGTATATTTCAGGGTAGGAGGACTTCTAGGGGCCGCTATCGAGGTCGTGGTAAAAATCGAGGTGTGGACCCTGGGTATCCACAAGGAAATAGGCCTAAAGCATACAACAACAACATTCAAAACAATGCACCTAAGGGTGTGAGAGGGAGAGGCCCAAGAAGGTATCAGCCCTCTTCAAAGAATGGCAGTGAGGCACCTCCAACACAAAACAAGCAGTGAGTAAAATAGTTTGAGATGCATGGTTTTGTCTGTATTCTTCTCCATTTATTTGCATTTGTTGAGTAAGTTGTATTCTGTGTCTTGCTGAATTTCTTAGATTCGGAAAGTCAGTTGAGAAAACTTTATATGCCAGTTCAGGGAGAGTATCTGCACCTGCATCAAGTGTTGAATCTGATCCAGTTCCAGCTAGAAAACATGGGTTTGGGTCAAGCTTGAGCTCTGCTTCTCCTCCATTTTATCCATCTGGCTCTTCCAGCAAAGAAATTAGTTTGTCACAGAAAAGGGATGCACAAGCTGGAACAATTAGCCAGAACCTTCGGTCCTCCGTTATGGTCGAGAATTATTCTATGTCACAGCCCAATGCTGTTTTGCGAGGAAAGAATGTGGTAGATTCCATTGGCATGGACAAGCTTTATATTGATGAATCAAATTCTTCAGTTTCTGGGAAGCCTTTGACCAATTTGCATGTTCCGCCTTCTGGATCATCAACCAATTCTACTCTATCTGCTCAGGTGCAAGTTCAGGGGCGAGGTCGAACTCCCTTGGGTCAGGTGACCCAACAACCAACATCACCTCAAAACCAAGTCAACAGAGTTTCTTCATCAACTCAACTCCATTCTATTCAGCGACATGCTGGTCAAAGCCGGATTCAACTTTCTTTACAAGCTTCTGGACAGCAGTGGGCTCAGAGTCCTGGTAGAGCATCATCTCACTCTTCATCTCCACCGAAAGAAGCTCAACCCATTAATTCACTTGAACCTGGAGTACGTGAAACTCCTCCAGAATCAAGTAAATCCAAGACTGCATTGGTTGGAAAAGGAAAAGGCAGCATTCACGGTAGTGGAAGGGGCTCTTTTCTGTATGGTGGGGCTCAGGTTATGGGAACTTCTGGAAACATGGGTGCTGGGCATGGTGATCAAAATTTCCCCAGAGCTCCAGCCTTTTTGCAAGGTAAAGCTTCTTATCATGATTTAACTGTTAGCAATGAAAAGGGAAAGTGAAAATTCCTCTAATCTCGAAACTGTGCAGTCTTCCCACCCTTGGGATGCTCATACTTTGGATTGGCTGAACTCAAATTTGATTTTATCTAGTGTTAGTATTATTATCTGCCAGTGTTTTTCGTAGATGTGAGTTGGTTTGTTGTTGACTGTTAGGGTGTTCAATTTGGGTCTTCTGGGTTTTTTTATATAGACAGACTGATATTGTGAGACATTCTACCAAAGAAAGAAGCACTCATGAGACAGGAGGAATTTAAAATTCGTCTGTATTTGTTCAGCAAACTTCGAACTAAAAACATTAACTTCCATGTAGGGATGGCAGTGAACTGGGTAAAAATGGGTATTCGTCTAAATCCGCTCCGTTTAGACCGAGGATGAACCATACGTATTTGAAGGTGCACGTATACGGGGATACCCGTATAAACCCATGCGGAGATGAAGTCGGGGATGGACTGACACTTACCTCCGCCCCGGCCCTCGCCCTGCTTTACCCATTATTATCATTATTGTTTTGTACACACACACACACACACACACACACACAAGCACACATATATATGTTGCTGTGAATAAAAATCTACATATTATTGAATAATTTTTTCTTTTGGAAATTGTTTTATTTTTTTCCTTTTTTTCATGTTTTTGGCTTGTAAGAGTTTAGATCTTTGTGTTTTTATGTTTTTTTTAATATTGGATTATATTATGTTACATTATGTTGCGATGGATTTACATGGGAGACAAACTTTTAATTATGTTATGTTGGATTATGTTTTAGACAAGGTTTTAATTCTATTATGTTGGATTATGTTATAGATGACAAGTTTTTTAATTATGTTTTGATATTCTATAATTATGTTGGATTATTTAGAATGTTAGATTGATTTAGAATTTTGGATTATGTTGCCTTGGGATTGGGCTTGGGTTGGGTAAGGTGGGCGGGGGTGGGGGTGGGGGCGGGGTTGAAGGCGGAGGACTCCCCGGGGGGAAGGGGGGCGGGAATTACAAATTTACCCGTAGACGGGGATGAGGATGAAAACTATACCTGTTAATGGGGATGGGCGGAGTTTTTTTAAGCGGCTACGGGGATGAAGGCTGCACCCCCCAACCCCGCTTCTATCCACCACCATCCCTACTTCCATGCATATTGTTCTTCTAGCTTCGTTTATGTTCTTGATTATAATTATATACATCTTTTTTTTACAAATATTTTTGATGAATTGACGTGCAGTTATGCAATTCGGGGGCCAGCATCCTGGTGGTATGGGAGTTCCTGCTGTTGGCATGGCCTTCCCTGGATATGTTGCTCAACCACAACTTGGTTTAAGGAATTCAGAGATGACATGGTATAATGTTTTTTTCTCTTTTTTCAAGTGTAATTTTGTTCGGTTAGATGTTTCAATTTTTATTTTATTGATTGTCATAAACTGGATTCCTTATCCTATGTGCTCTGCAGAGTTGATCCCTCCGTCACTCCATAAAATTGACTGAATGATGCATCTTATGTAATAGGAAATATGTATTTCTTCTTAATGATAGGGAGGTATTTTATTGAAGAATTGCTTACTATTGGGTTTTTCTTCTTTTTCATTATTCCCTATCTATTAACTGTCTTGTGAAATAGAAGTCAAAGGATTTGCAGCAACTTCTATCATTTAGGCATCATTCCATTTGATGATTTTCTGCTTTCTGGAGTATACCCCTTATTTACGTGTCAATATCTGTTTCTTTCTTGGAGTAACAGTTATAGTCATTTTTCAATGTTCAGGCTACCCGTTTTAGCTGGTGCAGCAGGAGCACTGGGGTCATCATATTGTCCACCATATATTGCTGTTGATGGTGCTTATAATGCTCGCCCGCCAGGACAGTCATCTTCTTCGGCTGCTTCTTCAAGGTCAGTAGCATAGCTGTTATAGTCAAATTCTCCATGGTCTTTATGGTCATCATATTCCATCCTTGCATCACTTCAAAATATTGGGGCTTTTAGCCAACTATTCCATAATGCTAACCTTGCCATCCAATATGCTTCTGAGTCTGTTACATTCCTGCAGCTTATGCACATGTGTTATTTTATTTTTTTCAGCATGTTGTGTATTGTAGGACCTTCCCTTCCCCTCAACAGCCCACCAAGCACCACCACCTTTTTTTTTGTGTGTGTGTGTGTGTTTTTTTTTTTTTTTTGGTTTGGGGGGGTGGCGCTTGGCTGTGGCATCATATGTATGAGGAACTGCTACATTTTGTTCCATAAAACTTCATGTGGCCTTGCCCCAACTTGTGTGACATACAGATCACGTGGTGTTATTGAGGTCTTGCATCCTGATTACTTGTGATACACGATTTGAAAAGGCTCAGGGCCCCTCTCGGTAAAAAAGCATCTCGTTATGATTTCCTTATTGATAGTTTATTCAGTTTTCATCTATATGTTGGTGTTACTGGTGGTGATTTATTCTGCAACTGATATTATTTGTTGTGGTAGGAAATGATTGCCCAGTTGGTGAACCTTGTTAACTATTGCTTCTTTTTCAATTTAACTCTCTGGAAAGAATTTTAAACCTTCTTTCCTTTTGCAGCAAAGAAAATAACACAAATAAACCCATTAATGAATGGCAGCCTTCGCAGAGATCTGGTAAGACAATGATGCCTTTGAAGCTCTTTGGTTTAAGTCTTTGACCAGACTTTGTTCCAGCACTGCATCATATTGTTTGTCATTGAAAAAGCTTTTCATCTCTGCAGAGCTTGCAAATGATGAGTTTGGGCAACGGCAAAATAAACTTCGTAGGTATGTTGAAGATTTTGACTTGTTCTGGGCCGCTGAAGAGACCAAATCTTGGATTTTTGCATTACCTCCCTCTGTTATCTCCATTTTCTTTCAGCTGTATATTTTTAGCTGTACATTTCTTAATTTTTTGAATGGTAATTTCTTTGCAGATATACAGAGATGAAGTTTGATTAGTGAAGCAATTAGATAGGTTGGGCGATTTGAATAAGCAGATAAAGGTCAAATTTTACTAATTTAACTCATGTCCTGCATCTCTCAAGTGTTACAAATCTCTGATGGTACTTTGGTGCTGCAGGCCTTCTTCCAGGCCCTTTGTGGTCTCCAGTATATATTCTGGATCACTTTGGGCTGCCATTGATTTCAAGATATCTTAGGTAATAACTCTCTTCTTAGTCTTATGTGTTTTTTTTTTGAAAGGAATGGTTGTATTCTCAGTAATGGCTGGTTGTTTGCCACGTATGTCCTGCCAAGTGGAGAAAATTGTAGATTGTGTGCACAACGTGCAATTGTGCAAATGCTTGCATGTACATGATGTATCGATGGACGATTTCAGTGTCTATGTCTTATTGGTGATTCTCTAGAAGGCTTGATGTTTGAAGCGGAGTTTGAGGAAAATGCTCTGGGCTCATTTTGGGTTCGAGCACCTCTGCAGCTGAGCACACCCCAAGATGCCTGATAGTCTACTCGTCAGTTCTGTTTCTATACTTCATTTGCTTCCTCGTTGCATGAATCTGTCGATGCATTCTGTAGTGTCCCCATTATAGTTGCTACGGTCTATGTACTCTTGTTTGTCTTGAGATTTGAATTGAAATTACCAATGCCATTGGTGTTGAATCCGTGGTCTGGGTTGATCCAGATAGATTATTGGATTAAGCATCAGAGCTTTGGTTTTCCTTTTTCCTTTAGACCTCTTGTGATTCCAATTTTCTCCCTCTGTGTTTCATGTCTTGCACCACTCATAGAAACAGAACTACCATCAGCTATCAGGAATTGAAACTTAGAATATGTATGAACTTAAAGGTGAAATTCCTATGAATGATGCATTAACTTTATCATAATAAACAATTTCTTTGGTCGTTTTGAGCATACTCACCTTTTTCTCTCTCTCTGTCTCTGATATTATTATCAGGTGTATGTGACAAATGCCTGCTCATGCTGCATCATTTAAGGAGAAACAAATATTTCAGATTGACGGGTGGCAGTTCTTTGTTCGAATGTGCGGTAGGATTAGGCATAGAGCTAGAGAACTTTGAACTCTTATTGTTGATACTTGAAATTGGACCAATTTTTTATATTCACTTCGTTTCAATTTCAGGTTTCTTACGGCTTGATTTTTTCTCCCCATGGAACTTGTGAGAATTGTTGTTGAGCTTCAAGACATTTATGAAAATAATGGAAAAGAACAAGAAGTATTGTGCAGAAGCTATTTTTTTTTTTTTTTTTTTGTGGTGTTTCTTGGGTTTTACTTCTTTACCAGTGGCCTTACATTTGGTCGTTATGCTGGTTGAGGGTCTTTTCTAGTGTTCTGCTGACTGCTTCCTAGATATTGCAAAGTATTTGTTCTAAAGGTCTCCAGTTATATTTCATGTTTTCTTTTGCCAAATGGCTAACTTGTTTTATGAAGTGCTGTTTTCTAGTCAATGAAAATGCCTGGGATTATGATGTGTTAAAGCTGCCTCATTTTAACAATATCGTTTGCTCATGTACAAGAAAATGGAACGTGCTACATATGAGTCGGTCTCTCATCAATAACCAGCAAGTGGTGTAATGTGAAAAGATTTGATGCAATCTATACAATGGGTGGAAGAATCCAAATGCATGAAGTTTTGTTACTCTGCTCAAAATGATCTACTTGATTGTCAACTTATCATTTTTTTCAGATCATGAAATGTTTTTGATTGGTGATTGAACTTCTGTTTGGATCTGTAGCTTGGAATATATACTTCATGCAGGCTGTTGCATGAGATTGTCAGACTGTTAATTTCTTTTTCTCATGGCAAATCCTTTTGTTTTGGTATAAATGAGAAATGGGAGAGCAATCAGAAAGTTCAGATTGGGAGCAGTTTGAAACATGGTAGAAAATAATTGTTCCAAGTTAGAATCTGTCTGCATCTGCAGATTTAGTTTATTTTAACTCTGAAAATTGAGTGTTTTTCTTGGTTCTGGTTGAGCGGCTCATTTCATTTTGGTTATTAGATCTAATTTATTTCAGCTCTAGAATCTTTCAATTCATTTGATTCTAGATCATCTATTATGAATTTAAAATAGGGCTATCAAACGTGTCGGGTTGGGTCATTTTATATCGGGTTGACCTCAAGTTTGTGTCGAAAATCTCAAAACACAAACTTGACATGTTTAATAATCGTATTTTGATATGTAAATAAATACTAACCCGACCTGACTATTAAACGGGTTACTTGAATACAACCTGGTTAACATGTTTAATAAACAAGTTATTTTTGGGTTAACACACATAACATGACTTATTTAACCTGTTTAACACATATAATCTGTTTTCACACATGTTCATTAATATTAATACACTATTCAATCATTCATAAAAAATTTTAAATAATTTTTTAACCAATAACATATCACATCTCATCAATGAAAATAACTAAAATGTATTCAAATTTTAACACAAAAAATTAAAGCATGAACTATTCTATTATAATTGTAAAGAGTAGAACCCTCTACTAAGGATTTCGGCTTGACCTGGATTAACCCACGCGGGCGACCCCCCAGTAGCCTTTATCTCTCTTCGCCAATAGGACCCTTTCCTAAGGCAATCCCACATCGGAAAGAGAGTCGTCTCTCCCCCTGCCATATAAGTGAACACTTCCTATGGAGGAGGTACCCACTAGCGACGACTCTCTTTCCGATATGGGATTGCCTTAGGAGGGATTGCCTTAGGAAAGAGTCCTATTGGCGAAGAGAGGTAAAGGCTACTGAGGGGTCACCCGCCTGGGTTAATCCAGGTCAAGCCGAAATCCTTAGTAGAGAGTTCTACCCCTTACAATAATGTTGAGAATTATACTGTCAATAATCATATTAGAAGAAGTAATAACTAATAAGTAATAATATTAAGATCACATCAATCATATATAATAGGCAAATTATACTGTCATAAACGGGTCTATAATGAGTTAGGTCGGGATCACATCAATCATATATAATAGGCAAATTATACTGTCATAAACGGGTCTATAATGAGTTAGGTCGAATTCGTGTCCGAATTATGTCAACCTGTTTAAAATATACAGGTTAATCAGGTCAAAATCAGACTGACTTGATTTTAACATGAACTTGTTATAATTTTTTTATGTTTAAACTTGTTGACCCGTTTAATTTCATGTCTGACCCATTAATTCATATTTAGTTCGTATCGTGTCGAAAATTGACATTCCTAATCTAAAGGACATTTGCATAAAAAAAAATTAATATTGGAGAGATATTGGAGAGAGCAAATTTGAGACCCGGACATACATTGCATAAATTTAATTTTGAGTAATAGTAAAAATAAATTATTTCAAAATTTTTGAGATGGTAAATGTGATTATCCGAAACTTCATATCAAAGTTCTGTAAATCAGCCCAGTGCCAGAGTCACAGTCCCTCCCAATTTCATATCGTAGATTCCATTCCAAGCTAATACCTATCAAACCACATAAATCCCAAAAAACCCAATCCAAACCTACCCATATTCAATAAGCAGATCATGGCGGAAGTAACTTGAACCATGGCTGGAAATATGCAGAACTTGAGAATAGAGACCAGCATATCTGGTGTTACAAACACAACCGTTAATCCAAAAGTCACAAGTCTTCTGGAGACTTAAAATTGATATTGATGACAATTCATTCTATTAACGCGGTTTAGAGTTCATAATTATTTGAATGTAACATTTCATCACACTGATATCAACGGCGACTTCCTCTATCGACACTAGTCCCAACTGTAAGGAATTGCACTATATTCATAGATAATAATAACCAATTGTGATGAACCCAACATCATTTCAGTAGGTTGGATGGCCAGATGGAGGGGTGGGTTGGAAGAAGAAATGGCTTGAAATCCAGTGGGAGAAGCGCTAGAGGGAGGAAAAAGATGAAGAGTAAACCTTTGTGACAGCTTTCTCTGTAGATCTCTCCCATCTACCCTGTAGACTGTAGTTCTATATTTTATTGTCAACATTGATACAATACTTTTTTTTTTTTTTTTTTGGTGCCGGAGGGGAATAGTCAGAAGTCTTGACTACAGAAAAGTTGAAAAGCCTCTAGTCCTCGCGAGTCTGTCTCTACAACTGGTCAACTGCTCTCTTGTATCTTTTATCTCTCTCCTCAGCTAATTTGATTGATTATTCTTCCTGAAAATTGGAGTTGATTTCTGCGTTCGTAGAGAGCTAGGGTTCACTTTGGTGGAGGTCTCTGTTCTCCGTGCTGTGCTTTTTCTCTGCCGTTGTTCACTGATCGATTAACGGAAGTTCTTAAAAAACAACGATAAGCGTGAAGGTAATTTCTGTGTGCGATAATTTGCTTCTACCTACTGAACTTGTAACTGTTTGTTGATTTGATTTTTTTACATTTCTGATGCTGCTCTAGAAAAAAATTTAGGAGAAGTTGTTACGGTCGAATAGTTATGAATTATAATCCTCCACAAGTCATGAAGCTTTTAGATTAACCGGTTGACTTCACAACAATTGGTATCAGATCAGACACCACGTCATGAGTTTGAGTCACGGAATTGGCGACTTATGCATTGGAATAAAATATCTTAGAATTATGTATGGGCATAGTGTAATCGCATTGATATATTTTCATATTTTGTCCAGCTCTTCCTCCGCCTAAATTGGGTTGAAAATTTTTAATTGTTGTGATCTCCTAAAGGGCAATGAACATCGTGAGTTCGTTATTGGACATTGCTACCCTCTTATGGGACTTCACTGCCAAACGTGTGAAAATTATATGTGGTTTGGAAGAGAATCTCAAATCATTGGAAAGTGCAATGGAGCAATTAAAAAATTGTCAGTGAAGATATGAAGAGAAAAGTGGAACTTCAACAGGAGCAGCAGATGGCATGCACGAGGCAAGTGCAAAGCTGGCTACTCAAGGTCGAAGTTATAGAAACCCCGGTGAAGGAAATTCTGGAGAAAGGTGGTCAAGAGGTCCAGCAGAAATGTCTTGGAGGTTGTTGTCCCAAGAACTGGCGGTCAGGCTACAAGGTAGGAAAGGAAGTAAAAGAAAAGCTCAAGGTTGTTGATGAACTAACGAATGCAGGAAATTTTGATGTTGTGGCCGAAATGTTGCCTCGTGGACTGGGGGATGAGAGACCTATGGAGGAGACAGTGGGATTGGATTCAACATTTGGGATGGTATGGAGATGGATCAACAATGAACAAGTCAAAGTTATTGGAATCTATGGAATGGGGGGTGTTGGAAAGACTACCCTTTTGAAAAAAATTAACAATAAGTTCCTCCAAACATGCCCAGGTTTTGATCTAATGATTTGGGTTGTGGTGTCCAAGCAATCAAATGTGGAAAAAATTCAAGAAGCTATTTGTGAGCAACTGAAGCTTCCCAATGATGTATGGAAAAATAAAGGTGAGGATGAAAAGGCCACAGAAATATTTAGGGTCTTGACCAGGAAGAAATTTGTGTTATTGTTAGATGATGTATGGAAACGATTAGATCTTTTGAAATTGGGGGTTCCTGCTCCAGATGTTCAGAATATGTCCAAAATAGTATTTACAACTCGATCAGAGGATTTATGTGGCCACATGGAAGCTGACAAGAAGATAAAAATGGAATGTTTGGCGAGGGAGGAAGCCTTAGCTCTGTTTCGGAAGAAGGTGGATAACGGCACTCTAAATTCTCATCCAGATATACCAAAGCTTGCAGAAATCATCGCTAAAGAGTGCAAAGGATTACCACTTGCCCTCATCACTGTTGGACGAGCCATGGCTAGCAGAAATGAACCCTGTGAATGGGAAAGGGCAATAGCAAAACTGAGGAAAGATCCAGCAAAGTTTTTGGGCATGGATGATGATGTATTTCATGTCCTAAAGTTCAGTTATGATAGATTAGACGATGATGTAATTAAATGTTGTTTCATTTATTGTTGTATATTCCCAGAGGACTATGACATTTCAAATGATGACCTTATAGACCATTGGATAGGGGAGGGAATTCTAGATGAATTTGATGACATACATGAGGCACGTAATCAAGGACTTGAGATTATTGGAAGCCTAAAGCGTTTATGTTTATTAGAGAATGCTAAATCTAAAGAGCATGTCAAGATGCATGATGTGATTCGTGATATGGCATTCTTGATTGGTTGCAGATGTAGTGGAAGGAAAAACAAGTTTTTGGTATTAGAAAGTGCTGGGTTGATTGAAGCACATGGGGTTACTACATGGAAGGAGGCAGAAACGATATCATTGTGGGGTAGTGGCATCGGAGACATCTTGGAAAAACCATTTTGCCCCAATCTTCTGACTTTCTTTGTGAGACATGCTGCACTAAGGACATTTCCTACTGGGTTCTTCCAATTTATGCCTGTATTAAGGGTATTGGACTTATCATCTAATTTTCACTTGATTGAGTTACCTGTGGGAATCGATAACTTGATAATGTTGCAGTATCTTAATTTATCAAAAATGCAGATCAGGGAGTTGCCTGTTGGGCTGAAGAATCTGACAAAAATGAGATACCTGCTACTGAATGCTACATATAAGATGGAAATCATTCCACGGCAAGTCATTTCAAGTCTTTCACTGTTGCGAATGTTCAGTATATCTGGCCGTGACTCTTCATCTGACAATCTTTTGGAAACCAATGTTTTAAGTGGTAGTAGAAAAGCGCTGTTAGAGGAATTGGGGTGCTTGGAACACATGAATGACATATCCATCACCGTATTTGATACCCTTTCTGTGCAAAAAATACAGAGCTCCCACAAGATACAAAAGTGCATTAGTTATCTATGTCTGGAGAGATGTGAGGGATTGACCTCACTTAGTTTGTCATCATCAACTCTGAGAAGAATGAAGCATTTGGAGAGACTTGATATGTATTATTGTCAATTCGAATATCTAGAAATTTATTCAGAACAAGATGGGAGACGGGACACTGTATTTGATACTTTTCTTAACTTGGAGTTTATAGGGGATGGCTGCTTCCATAATCTATGTTATGTATATATTGCTTATTGTGATAAATTGTTGGACTTGGCATGGCTTCTTTATGCTCCGAGCGTTCAACTTCTTGATGTAGCTCACTGTGAAAAAATGGAAGAAATCGTGTGTGAACCTTAGTGAAGTTGCAGAGATTAAATCCAACTCGGGCATATTCTCAAGGCTCAGAACAATTCGTTTGATGAACCTTCCAAGGCTTAGGAATATCTATCCATGGACCTTGCCCTTCCCCTCACTTGTAGAGATCCGTGTGGCAGCATGCCAAAGATTAAGGGAGCTCCCATTTGATTCAAATAGTGCAAAGAATAGTCTAAAGGAAATCAGAGGAGCAGTGTGGTGGTGGTGTGGTTTGCTGTGGGATGATGAAACCATTGAGTCTATATTCCATCCATATTTTGTACAAGATGGGCCATTCTGATAAAGACGGAAAGAGATGTTCTTTCAATTCCAAGTAATGACATGGATATATTCCTTCCAGCAATTCCAGATAGTTGTATCTCATCTGTGCTGGTGAGTGGTGACATTCATCAGCCCAGCATCAAGCTTCAATGGTTTTATACAGGTAAACTTTTATTGTTCCATTAAATTGCCTTTATTTTTTGAATTCCTGCTTTTTCTGGGGAATGTCTAGATATTTTCCCTCAAATTTAGATGAAAATCTTTGGCGATGAAAGTTTTTTTCCCATTTCAGATATTTACCTAGTGTGCGTTCATCATCTATACAAACTTTTCATCATCAACAATATATGAATATGTGATATGATATTTATTATATTTTAATTTCTTTCTGCAGAATCAATTCGGGGGGTTTCCCTTTAATGTGTCTTGAAGCTGCTCTGTTACCAACTTAGCGATAGAATGAAAGTCCAGGGATGCACTCAAAAACTATGATTCTTTGATAATGTACAATAAAGTTCCTCCAGAGCTTCACAAGGCAAGGCTCGACAGTCGACACAAAGGTACTCAATATAACACAAACTCTTTAATCTTTATATCTCTAACCAACAGCAGGACTGAACATGGCCGGAGTACTCCTCTAGTGCCTCCACTTTTGTCCAGTTGTTATCTTTCAAACCTATTAGATAGGCTCTGTGGGGCTCACCAAATCTTGGACAGCCAATCACTAACAACTTGTCCTGCCATGCTGTCACGTATGATGTATGGTGTACCTCAGTTGGAAGTTCAGCTACTACTTGCCATATAGGACTCTGTAGGACCTCCACATCACCAGCCCGACACATGAAGAGTCTTCCATCCCCACTGTCCAGGCAAGTCATTGGACACGTGGCAGTTTCCAAGAAGTCCTCTTGGACTTGCTTCCACTGCCATGTGGCAACATCAAAAGCTTCGGCACTTCTCTCAAAGCAACCTTGCATCTCTGTGGGGTACCCACCAATGACATGGAACTTGCCATGGTGGAACACCCCCTTGCACTCATCGCGCTCCCTTGCCATATCAGGTAGTTGGACCCATTCATCTTTTGTCATGTCATACGCCATTGTAGATCTCAATGCATTTTTCTGGGTGTCATGTCCACCCGCAACAAACACCATCCGATGAGAATCAGATGCACAAGCAAAGAATGATCTATGACCTCTAGGCATATCGGTCCCGCGACGCCACTTGGCCGAAACGAAATTGTAAATGAACATCGCATTTGAAACCTCCCAAGTTACTGGGTTCCAGCCTCCGATTACCACCAGATTCAAATCCAGTGCAGCAAGTTGGCAAAACATTGGCAACCCATCGGAGAGTCCTGGAACTGGTGGCAGCTCACTCCAGCCACCCGTTTTTGCCTCGTAAAGCGTGAGTCGATACACCGGTGTAGCAGAATACTTCTTGAGTCCATGGTTGTTGGTTGGGTCAACCCGTGCCTGTGCCATCACTATGATCTGCTGGCATACACCAGCAGCCTTCCGCCACCGCCAAAACTCTGGCAGCTCAATCTCTACCTTCCAGCTCCGACATACCGATGTAATGGATGAGAAGTGTTGATAAGGGACCCGAATCAGACAATCTAGGCCAACGTCATCAGGAAGACCCGGAATGATCTTCATGACTGGAATATGCATACACAACTTGTAAGTAAGAAAAGAAGGCTAGATAGATAAATTATAGAAAGAAGATTGGATGTGTTTTGCTTTTATAGATATAAATAGTGGGGAGGTCCATCCCATTGTGAGAATGTCCATTGTTAAAAGGTTTGGTAGTCTTCTAGAAGGTTGGGGGATATTGAAGTTAAAAGAGAAAGTGACATTATGGGAGGCCATAGCCTTGGCTCTAGAACGTTTGTTATCCTGTTGTTTTCTTCCACTGATTTACGTTTGCCTGTGTCTGTAGTCCACTGAATAGTAATAAAAAAAAAAAAGTTTGATACATTTGAGGGTCTAGTAGTGTGTAGTGTATAGTTGTATCATCCACAGGTGCACAAAGTTAAAAAAGTCTGTGGGGATGCTAGTGTTTGGATTTTTTGCTGTACCCACTGGAGCCAACTGGCTTGATCCATAGAATGCTGGATTTTTTTCTTTTTTTCAATTTGCTTGATTGATTTGGTGGATGGGACCATTAATTTGTTTTCACGTTTTTTTGTCCGTTTACATGAATTGTAATGGTGAAAAGGTATTTACTTCAAGCCTTTCCCAATTTTGCCACCGGGAATTCTTGGTACGGGAGCTCGGGGATCGAGCCGTGGGACGGACTGATTAGTATATAGTAGTAGCAGAACCAAAAGCTTTAAACGAAAAATAAAGAAAAAAGAAGGGAATGTGACATTAACAAGTAAAGTTAAATCAGCGGCTCATGATTTTCGTTTAATTGAGATTCGGCATCAAGGTTTGGCCTTGATCTCAGTTGATATAATTTTATTTTTTATTTTTTAAAGCATATTGTGGTGTAGATGTAGCCCAATTTTAAGAAGAACCATTAAATAGAGTTGATAATTAAGTTGAGCTCTTTAAATTTGGTTCGGGCTCGATTTGGGTAGGATTAGACTCGAGTTCTATTTGGGTATTAAACGAGCCTATGGGCTCGATTTAGGTAGGATTAGACTCAAGTTCGATTTGGGTATTAAACGAGCCTATGAATAATTTTTTAGGTTTATTTAGAAAGTTTATAATATAAAATAGGGATAAGTTTCAATAAGTTCCTTCAACGGTTTCAAATAGACTTATCTAACAGTTATTAACATTTTTCTCAAAATCATTCATACTGTATCGTGCCTTCAGATACGAGTTATCTCTAATGAGTCTAAAAAACTCGACTCATTTTATATATAAAATAATCGACTCATTTATCTTTACACGTAAAATAATAACAATTGAATCTCCTCTATATATATATATATATATTATGAGAAGACTTTTTTTTTCTTGTTCCTGATTAATCCATTTTGTCGTAAAATATTTTACTTTAAAGAATTTGGGAGAAGAACGAAAGGACATATTAGATTCACATGAACTAAAACCCAACTTAACACAATATGTGCGCCATATAACTTGACGGTGGACCATTATAATCGTATCGGATATGAATTGAACAAAGTTTGACATGATAGACCACACAAGTCTAATAGGTCAAGAAGTTCATCACTTCACCAAAGTTTTGACCCACAAGTACCGTAAAACAAAAACAAACAAAAGAAACCATTATTTTGTACTTGTTGCAATTCGTGTAGCAAGAATGCACTCCGCTTCGCCCGCACAGAGGGCTTCGATCCAGAATGCACTCGGCTTCGCATTTCGCAATGCACCTCTCTGACAGGGCCCGGCCCAATAGCATGTGTAAAAAAATCTGAATTTTAAGCCCTAAATTTTTAAACATTATAAATAACTCATATAAAAAAAATTATAAAAATATAAGTCCAATCAATAGGCCCATAATTCAATCCAAACATTAAATATCTAAAAAAAAATTAACAATATATAAAATAAAAAAAGTCAAATCATATCCTATCTTCCTTTTCATACACACAATCTCTCTCTCTCTCTCGATAAACCAACTACACCAACAACACAAATAAGTATTTTTCTTTCCCTCTCTCCTAGTAAATCGAAACTAGTCTGAAACAAAAAAAACATACTCTTCTTTCTTCCCCACCTCTCTCTCTCTCTCTCTCTATGCTCTCAGTGAACTCGTTACTCAATATTTACTTCTCACAGATCACTTTTTTTTTTTTTGCCAAGTGCTACAGCTAGGAGTGGAGGAGAACTCACAGATCACTCACCTGTGACTGACTCGGCCTCCACGACTCCACTCCATCCTCCATTTGAGATCATTCAATCCAGGTTTTATTGTTTCATAATTATAAATTTTTTTGTTATATATTTTTAATTATACTATTTATTGTTTGTTTGGTTGTTATATAGTTATAATATATTAGTAATATGACACCTAAAAGACAACTAACTGGATACGAAAAATTTTAAAAAAAAATAGATCAACTAATAGAATCTCAAAAAAGATCTCCTGATAAATTTGTTAGTAGTAACAAAAATAAAGTAACAAAAAATTTAGATGAAAATTTTGAAAATGAATAAGTAGATAATGAAATAGAAGAGAATAAAATAAAAAATATTGAAATAGAAAATATTGAAATAAAAGATAATGAAATAAAAGATAATGAAATAGAAGATAATGAAATATAAAATATTGAAATAGAAAATATTGAAATAAAAGATAATAAAATAGACGATAATAAAATAGAAAATAGTGAAATAAAAGATAATGAAATAGAAGACAATTAAAATTTTAATAAAACAAGTGATTATAGTCATATAAATATTTATGATCCAAGTCAATGGAAAAATATTGATACGACATTAAGAGATTTATTAGTAGAAAATGATCCAATTAGATATAATAATTTAAATTTTTCTCGGGATGAACACTCTAGACGTTATTTCACTATACATTATATTCGCAAAATTAACAAATGGGGAAACACTTGATAGAAGATGGCTAGAATATTCAAAAGATTTGGATAAAGTATTTTGTTTTTGTTGCAAGTTATTCAATATGAATTATTCTACAAGTAAACTAGTTAATGAAGGAACAAAAAATTAAAGAAATATTGGTGTTAAGTTTAAAAATCATGAAATAACTAATGAACATATAACTAATATGAATACTTGAATTGAATTAGAAACAAGATTGCAACTAAATAAAACAATTGATAAAAGTATCCAAGAACAAATTAATAAAGAGAAAGAATATTGGCAAAATGTATTAGTAAGAATTATTGTCGTTGTAAAGAATCTTGATAAAAATAATTTAACTTTTCGGGAAAAAAATGAAAAGATATATCAAGAAAATAATGAAAATTTTTTAAGTTTAATTGAAATAATTGCGGAATTTGATCCAATAATGCAAGAACACGTTCGTCGTATTCAACAAAATATAATTCATAATCATTATCTTGGACATAACATACAAAATAAATTGATAAGTTTGTTAGGGAATGAAATAAGAAGCAATATTATTAAAAAAATTAAATAAGTAAAATATTATTCAATCATACTTGATTGTACTCCCGATATAAGTCATCAAAAACAAATGTCTCTCATATTACGATGCGTAGATATTACAACAATCCCAATAAAAATAGAAGAATATTTTTTTAGAGTTTATTAAAATAGATGATATGAGTGAAAAATGTTTATTTGATAAACTTATAAATATAATAAGTAATCTTAAACTAGATATTAATAATGTACGAGGACAAAGATATGATAATAGATCTAATATGAAAGGAAAACATCAAGGTGTACAAAAAAGACTACTCAATATACATCCTAGAGCATTTTACACAATATATGATTGTCATAATTTAAATATAGTACTTTGTGATATGACTAACTCTTGTCCCAAAACTATATCATTTTTTGGAATAGTACAACGTATATATTCATTATTTTCCTCTTTTACAAAACGATGAAAAATTTTATAAAATAATATTTAAGATTCAACTCTTAAACCATTATCACAAACATGTTGGGAAAGTTGTGTTGAAAATGTTAAAACAATAAGATTTCAAGCTCCAAGAATAAGAGATGCATTATTGCAATTAGCGGAAACTAGTGAAGATCCTAAAATAAGGAGTGAAGCTAATTGTTTAGCAACATATGAGATTGAAAATTTTGAATTCTTATTGAGCATGACTATTTGATATGATATTTTATTTTCTGTCAACTTAGTTAATAAATATTTACAATCAAAAGACATGCATATTGATATTGTTATAAATCAATTAAAAGGTCTCATTTCTTTTTTTGAAAAATATTGGGAAAGTGGATTTACAAATGCTATGATTTCATCTAAAGAGATTGCATGTAAAATGGGTATAGAACCTATATTTCGTGAAAAACGTAGAGTTCGTAAAAAAAAAAATTTGATGAAAATGTTGATGATGAGGTAACACAATCTATTGAAAAATCTTTTAGAATTGACTATTTTACATATATAATTGATCAAGCTATTTCTTCACAAAAAAATAGATTTGAATAATTACAAAAGTACGAAAATATTTTTAGTTTTTTATTTAACTTAGAAAAATTATAATTATTGACCAATGATAGTTTAAAACAATATTATTTGGATCTCGAATGTTTCTTAAAACACGAAAATTTTTCCGATGTTGATGACTTAGATTTATTTTTAGAACTAAATGTTTTAAAAGAAATTTTACAAATGAAATAAAATACTCCAATTGAGATACTAAATTATATAAAAAAGTTAGATTTTTTTCTAAATGCATGCATTGCTTATAGAATATTATTAACAATTCTTGTAACAGTTGCTTCTGCGAAAAAAAGCTTTTCAAAATTAAAATTGATAAAATCTTACTTAAGATCGATTATATCACAAAAAAAATTAACTGGATTAGCGATACTATTAATTGAAAAAGACATGATAGCAAAACTTGAATATAAAATCTTAATTAATACTTTTGTAACTCAAAAAACAAGAAAAATTAATTTTAAATAAAAAATATTAACACTAAACACAGAAGGCCTCATTTAGAAGTATCGTTTTAAGCTCCAAATTGTGTTGAGCCACCCTGCACTCTGACAAGTGGTCGGTCAACTCCAGCTAGCATCACCAGAGCCAACTTCATTTCAGTCCCAACCATTGTTGCTCCGCTCCTTCTCTCTTTGTCTCTCTCTCGATCGACCGAATTTATAGGCTCTTAGGCCTTAGCAAAGGAGGAGTGGACATTAACTTGGTGCTGATTTTTTTGGCGATACCAGGGAATCGGATCAGATTAGCAATTAGTTCGAGGAGGGAGAGAGAGAGAGAGAGCTGATCAATTTGAAATTGAGAAAGCTGTAATAACGGTTGTTTATTCGTGAAAATAAAGGAGATCACAACCGTTGCTTAAATCATGGGAAGACAATATCCTTTTATGGCCTAATTTATTTATTTTTTTTAATTTCTTGATTTAATATTGTATGCATGGTTTTAGAGCTAAATGGGTTTTGATTTGATTTTATTACAATATGGACAATGACATATGTGTTGTGGATCTATTGGGAGGAAAATAGGAGCTAATCCTATAGTTTTTGGTTTATGGGTACACAAAAAAAGATCCAAATACGACAACAATTCAAAATGATATAATCTAAATATGACACAAAATTAAGTAAAATTAATATTACCCAAAGGATGAAACGACACGACTCACAAGACATTACTCTTCTACCCATGAATGGAAAAAAAATGTTTTATGACCACATGATTTAACACCATTCTTTGCATTACGCAACACTCGTCGTTTCAGGATTCAAAGACTATATGTGGCCTTATTGTCCATTTTTATATAACAATATTTCTAAGCAGGACATATAAATATATTCCCATGTATGAATGAGACATTACTATTACAATTTTGCTTCTTTCCAATTCCATAAAAAATTGGAGGATACTACAATTATCTTTACAGTGCCACGACTAATCCATCTTGAAAATTCAGTTGAGTTCAAATTTTAAAAATATAATGGTACTAATTTAGTTAATGGATTATGATGATCAATGTAGGCAGTTGCAGTATAAATAATATATATTACACTATCTCTAACGATTTAAGCTTTTAGAGTAGAGATGATTATTTAATATGGTATCAGAACATAATGTTCTGTATTTGTATCTCGCTGTCACCCAAATTATTAAAAAGATTTTTACGTACTAGGCCTTAAAAGTATAAATACTTTAACTACACCATCTCCAACAGTTTAAACTTTTGGAGTAAATAATTCAAAATAAAATTAAAGCATCATGCAAATCTTGTGAAATTGAAACAATAAGCCTAAAGTGAAAGTTTAGCATCATTCATATGATTATTCAAATCTTGTATGTTTTTCAAATACAAGCCTAAAGTCTTGTTAAAAGCATTCCCCTTTCAACCCTAACTCTAGGATCCGTCCATGCTTCTATCTTTCTAATTTTACATATTCATGGCAACTACTTTGACATCTTTAACACGAAAAAAAAAGAATACACTTTTCGTGTAAAGCAAAGAGAGGTAAAGAAGACACCAAATATACTTTATATTGCCGTGTCCTACTATATATCTCATAGCAATAATACATTTAATCAATAAATTTTGATTTACAAAAATAGGTTGATATTAAATAGATTTACCATCTATGGTTTCTAAAAATGATTCTTAGTCGTAAATCTTAGTTTGATTTATTCCTATTTTTTTATCTTGAAAATAATAAAATACAATACAATAATATAATAATAGGAAAAAAAAAGAAAAAAAAAACTTACACGTGTCACTTTGTGATTAGAGACAAAATAAGAGGGTATGATATTAAAAATTAATTTTCGATATCATAGTTTATTTAACCAGTGGTTTGTACCATCCAAGCTAGTGATTGCAGCAATTTGAAGTAGATTTTGTGCATCTCCATTTATTGGAAAGTTGGATGGGTGCATTAAAGGAGTTATTCAAGTGTGTTTGACCTCAAGTTTTTTTATTTGTTCAAAGTGTTTGACAACAAGTTCAAAAACAAAACAAAAAAAAAAGGAAAAATTTCAATCACATCCTTTTTAATTTATTGTATCTTTAAAGACACTTTCTAAAATTACTGATACTCATTTTAGTTTATATTTAAATATCACTGACACCTCTTGCAATTAAACCACCATTTCTAATAAAAAAATCCATCTAAAATACAAAAAATGACCTTACGTAAACCCTAAATAATTTTTCTACATAAAATTTGATTAAAATTCGAATCGATTAAAATTTATTTTTTTATATATTAAAATTGAGTGGATTAAAATTCAATTCGAATTGATTATATATTTTTTTTTTACATATTCAAATTCGAGCATATTAAATTATTTTTTATGTATTAAAATTTGAGTCAATTTGAGTTCTCCCTAAGCTGTTAAAGTTGATTAAAATTTTTATTTTTTATTAAAATTTATACCAATTAAAATTCGATTCAAGTTCATTAAAATTTATTTTTTACGTATTAAAAGTTGAGTCGATTAAAATTTATATTTTTTTATGTATTAAAATTTTGGCTCATTAAAATTCAATGTGAGTTGATTAAAATTTGAATTGAGCCAATTCAAAATGATTAATTTTTAATCGAATTGATTTTTTTTTTAATTGACTTGAATTTTAATACGTAAAAAAAATTAAAAAACAAAAAAGGTCTTATTGAAGATATGTCTATCTAGAGGAAATGTGGTCTCAAATATATCACGAATAATTTAATAAAATTATATTTTAATTAACATTTTTAATCTGACAAGGATGTCAGTGAATATTCAAAAAATAAAAAAAATATTTTTAAAGATATAATAAATTAAAAAGGTGCGACTGAAATTGTCCCCAAAAAAAAAAATTGTGTGTTTAACCAATAAATGTTGTGGGTCTCAAGGATGGTGCTAGAGGTCATCCAAGATCAAGTGTGAGCCGTGGGAAGGAGAGAGAAAATTAAATCTTTGGCATGAAGGGGAAGGGAGGAGTTGGAGCAGTCACCATAGTGGTGCTGGTGATCATGATACTATTCACTGGGCATGCCACAGCGACAGCGGAGTTCAAAACTTGCTTTGAAGTTTGCATGGTTGGCTGTTTTATACAAGGTGGCAAATTTCCCTGCACCGTGAAATGCTTGGCAAGTTGTATCATTCGCAACACGTCAGATGAACTCTACTACTGTAGCCTTGGCTGCTCCGTTGACCAATGCGCCCAGTTTGGCGATGGTATCCCTTCTTTTTCTCTCTCTTTATACCAACAATACATGATGCATAACGCATTTGAAATTTTTTATTAAAATATTTAATAAAATAAATAAATAAATCTAATTATGTAGATATATTAAAGATATTATCTCATATTTATCATAATTAAATTATTTATATTCTCTTCATAATTATAAACATTTAATAGACTTAATTTCTGAGATTCTTTCAATCGAGGTATCAAGTTATAAGATTTATAACTTTTTCTTTTCTCAATTTTTTTTCTTTTATTTTGTGCATCAATAATTTTTTATCAAAATATTTTAATTGTGAATGAAAATATAAGAGAAATATATCTATTTTTTGATATTGGAGATTATAATGTATTAACAGAGTTGTCAACGTGTATTAATATTGAATTTTTTAGAAAAAAAGAATAATTTTGTTTTTATATATCATGCTAAGTATAACATGACCATTCCAAAGTTTTGCAAAGATAGAGAGATTTATATGATATGTTAGAATGATAATTTGCATATTTAAATACAAAAGGACAGGTTAGCCTTTATAATTTTTTGGATTAATTGCACTGGAGGTCCCTAATGTATGAAATTTGTTTCATTTTGGTCTCAAATATTTTAATTACATGATTTTAGTCACTGATATATTAAATATATTTCTATGTGATCCTTCAAACAGACAACGTCTAGATTGTTGATGGGTTTTTATCATAAACTTGTCACGTGATACCTAAACATATAAAAAAAATAATTTGAGTAACTCTTAACCAAAATTGAGTAACTTTTGACAAAAAATGTGTAATATGAGTTGTTCTTGACCAAAATTTAGATGGTTCATGATTAAAACTGTATAATTTAAGTAACTCTTTAAACAAATTTAGGGTAAAAAATTAGTCAAAAGTTATTCAAATTATTTTTTGATTAGATTATAATATTAAATATTATTTTCATATGCCATTTAACTCATAATTAATATATTATTGCAGTTTCCTTTCTAGTTCATAAGAAGTTTGGGAATTTTGTTTATTGGACATTTATAGTTTACCTCATTAATGCGCTAGCCCAATGTAATTTGAGGTCTAAAATGAAAACATTGAAAAAGTCTTTTTATTTTTAATATTAATTTTTAAAAAAATTAATTTACTTTTTAATTTTTTATGTGAGCGAGAAACAAAAGAAAAATATGCTAGTAGTGGCAAGAATGAAGTTTTAACTTGTGCTTTTGTTTTTTACTAGAGAGGGAGAGGGAGAGGGAGAGTTTAATTTCAATTTTATTTCTATTTTTTACTTTTTTTTTATTGGGGAGAGAGAGAGAGAGAGAGAGAGAGAGTGGGTGAGATAAATAAGAGTTGACTTTTGGGTATTTTTTTAACTTCTTTTAGGTTTTTAATGACATGGATTGAATCATTAGCTCCAATTACTGCAATAAAAAAATTTGGTGAGACTTAATATTTTGGGACTTTTTTTAGGGCTTAAAATTTAACAAATTTAAATATTTTTGTAGTTAGTAATATTTGAGGTCTAAAGTTCAAGTTTTATTTTAACCAGTTTGATGGATGAGTTAAAATTGTGTACGAGACAACATATTTTTTTTTTTTTTAATTATTTGTTCGAAAATCAACTTTTGATGTTTACCTCTCTTATATCTCGAGACTCGTCTTGTGCACCGATTTGTTTTGGCAGACGTAAATAAAGTGGAGAGCTGCGTGGACAAATGCGAGGGAAGTATTTGCGACAAGAACTGCCTGAATTGATATATAAAGTTGTTCCTACAGAACTTGCATCTCACAGTGAGATGATACATAGTAATAATCAAAGTCAATCTAGGAATGTTCCAAGTGTAATGAAGCTCTTTGTTTCTTGTTCAGTGTGGAGCTATGGAACTTTCCAACTCGTACTAACTTCTCCAGATGCTTATAATATAAACTAGGCATTTCCTATGGAGAAGCAATCCAGGGTCGCATTATTTGCTTCAGCACCCTCCATACTAAGGGCTCTATAAGAAACATCTTTCTAAACTCATACGTTATGAGGTTAAATATTGACAATCTCTTAGGATTAGGTTATAAGAGATTTATCTCTCATAAATATCTAAGTTCTAGTGTGAATGATTTGTTTTTGACCAAACTGGAAAGAAGATTAGTCAAGTGTGCGTCACCTGATTCAGACATCCCTAACTGTTGAACAAAAAAAAAATAAATAGTGTTGTGCCCAAATGGTGCACTTGTATGCCCATTTTTAACTTCCAGTTTTCTTTCTTTTCTAACTAATAATTCTCATCTTTTTTGAGCAAATAATAAATCTCATTTCAAGTCATGCCTTTTTTAGATTTATGGTTACAAAATAAATGTAAAATTTATGTAATCATTTATAAATCACACACACACTTAACCAAGAAGTAATATTAATTTGATAAAACTAAATATTTAATTCAAAAAATTGAATGACCATTTGGTATTGATTTAATGAAATTTAATGCTAATTTAAAATTCAATCAAAAAAATGATGTTAATTTCATAAATTGGATGTTACATTGATGAAATTAAATGTTAATTTGAGGATAATTTGATGAAATTAAATACTAATTTGAGGTTAATTTGATAAAATTAATTTAGTGTTATTTTATAAATTTTATAAATTATGATGAAATTTAATGTTGATTTGATAAAATTAATAGTTAATTTGGTGTTAATTAGATCAAATTAAATATTAATTTTGTACTTAATTTGACGAAGTTTAATGTAGTTTTGATAAAATTGAATGTTAGTTTAGTGTTAATTTTATGAAATTGAATTAATTTAATAAAATTGAATGTTAATTGGATGAATTGAATGCTAATTTGATGAATGTGAATGTTAATTTAGCAAAATTTAATGTTAATTTGGTGCTAATTTAATAAAATTGAAAATTAATTTGGTATTAATTAGATAAAATTAAATATTAATCAAACAAAATTAAAGGTTAATTTGATGTTAAATTGATAAAATTATAAATTATTTTTGTATTAATTTGACTAAGAGTAATTAAGTAAAACGAGGGTTCTAATAAGGATAATTTAGTAAAATTATTTATTATGTTAGTTTTGTTAACAAACAAACTAATAGGGGTATGTAGTGATATTTTATAAAATAGAGTAAATGTTAGTGAAATATGACTTAAATTCAGGGATGTCTATGAAATTTTTCCATTATTTTTTTTTTTTTAAGTTCAACAATCCGGAGTGTCTTTACGTTCACATCGACTAATTTCTTTTTGAGTTTAGTTAAAGACAAGTCATCTATACCGAGACTAAAATAATTAAATATAATTCACTAATGATCTGACCTCAAAATATTATCAAATTTTAAAATATCTGATTTTATCAGTAGTTCCAGTTACAACTTAGAGCTATCTCTTTGAATTTTTAAAGGAAAAATTTTATTCACGCCCTCTGTAATTATGTCTAAATTTAATGACACTCCTCCTAAATTTTGAATCTTCACTTCACTCCCTGTCATTGTTTGTTGGATTACGGCATTAAAAACGATTGTTAATTTATAAAAATACCCTTGAATATTTTATCTGGTGAATTTTATCCACAATCCCTGTAAATAGACATATCTTTAACAATACCTTCTCCTGATTCTAAAATTTCAATACACTATTTTTTAGTTATATTATGTTAACCCTTAGATTCATTAATTTAATATTTTATTTTATAAAATTAATGCCCTTTATTTAATTTAAACTAAATTAATATTTCATCTCATCAAAATCCACACAAATTGATATTTAATTTTATCAAATTAGTATTTAGTTATATTGTTTTAATATTTTATTTCATCAAATTAATATTATTTCTTTAATTTAACATTACATTATTATTTAATTTCATCAAATTGATATTTAATTTTATTAAATTAAAATTAAATATATTAAATTCTATTAATTTAACATTTAATCTTATTAAATTAATGTCAGTTATTCAATTTAACACCAAATGAACATTCAATTTCATTAAAGCAACATTTAAATTTATTCAATTAATATTAAATTTTATCAAATCAACATCAAATTAATATTTAATTTCATCAAATAAAAATCGAATTAATATTTAAATTTATCATATTAAGACCAAATTTATTTAATTAATATTAAATTTTATATATGAAGGGTGATGTATGAAGAGTGAGCAGGTGACGTTGTAGAGGATAGACAATAGCAGAGAAGTTAAAAATAAATGAAATTTTGATATTGACTTTATCGATTATAATTTTATTATAAAAAATTTATTTTTAACTATAAAATAAATTCAGAACTCTGTAATTTATAATGAACAACAAAAACACATACCTAACAATTTATAATGACTTAAAAGTTTAATGGGTGTTTTGGATGAAAAAAATTAAAACTATCCGCATGAAAAAAAAAAAAAGTTGCATGACACAAATTCAAAATATATGGGAAAAAATAAAAATAAAAACTGCATTAAAATTTTTTAAAAAATATGCATGAAAAAAATTTTAAAATCTGCAAGAACAAAATAATTCTTTTTTTAACTTAAGTAGTGATCGATAACTGTAGAAAACGAGTTAAAGAATAATAGTTAGCTTTACTCTCCTATGTCTTCCAACAACTCCAGATCGTTTTGGACCTTCACAAACAACAAAAAGGTATATAAATTTATAGTTAAACTGTTATTTTTTGTATTCGTAGACTTAAAAATTAGCGTTAAAAGGGTGTTTTTAATTTAAAAGTATAAATGAGAAAAGGGTGCAATGGAGTTTCAGAATCGAGACGAAATATCATTAAATTTAAACGTAATTAGAAGGGGTGTGGATGAAATTTTTCCTGTTTAAATCATCGTAGACACTGTGATTGGTTACAAGTGACACCACACCCAAAAAAAAGAAGAAGCGAAAAGTCAATAAAAATCTATCCGACCCATCATCTTCTTATGTTTTCTTCATTACCAACCAAATCTAGGGTTTTCTTCACCGTAACCTTAACCCCAAAAAACCTTAATTTATCACCAATTCAATCCAGTACTCAACTTAGGTTTTCGATTCTGTGGTCAAAGTTTGGGGATTCGATGATAGTTACACCAATTCAGTCCAATACTCAACTTAGGGTTTCGATTCTGTGGTCAAAGTTTGGGGATTCGATGATAGTTACGTGAATTGAGTGAAGAAGATTGTTGTTTTTTCTGTTGGGTTAATTCATGGCGGGTGTTGGGGAAGAAGCAGGAGAGTATGAGAGTGATCCGGAGGAGGCAAAGCTGTCGCTGAAGATGCGGAGGAGGGAAGCGAGTGATGAAGAGGAGGAGGAGGAGGAGGAAGAGGAGGGTGATGGGGAGGAGAGAGAAAGGAGAGAGAAGCTTCCTAGGAGGGTCGATTCGGAGGGTGAATCGGATGGGCAAGGTGCCGCGGCAGTGTACGATGATGATGACGAAGAATTAAATACGGAGGAAGAAGAGGAAGGGACTGCGGAGGAGGAAGAGGGGGAGTATGAGGAGACAGAAGGCGAGGTTGGTGGAGAGGATGGTCAAGTAGCGGAGGCGGTGGCAGAGAGAGCGGTGGAGGTGGAGAAAGAGGTAAGTGGGGATGGAGATAGTAGAGCTGTTGGAGATGTTCTGGAGGTTCAGCAGGAGGTAAATAGGAGTGATCAAGTAGATGAGGAGAAGAAAGAGAATGAGCCGTTTGCGGTGCCAACGGCTGGTGCTTTCTATATGCATGATGATCGTTTTCGGGAGTATGTTGGCGGGCGACACAGGTATTGGCGCTGGGTTTGGGTTTTTGATGTTTATGGAAGTGATTTAATTGCAATGCAATCACAATTTTCTTTAAAAGCACATATATAATATCCAAGTTGAAGTTCCTCAATTGATAGAGTAGTTCTTGATAGTCCAATAGTCAAGTTAAAGTTCTTAATGATAAGTAAGCTTTACTTGTGTTAAAACATGAACTGCATATTACCACCCTTGGGAGGTCACTCACCCTCCATGCCCCTCTAAATGTGTCATGGCCTTCAGCTCTGATTGAGGAATCACTGTAGCACTAGGTTGTACTAATAATAATATGAACTTCGCTATTCTTATAAGATTATTGACTTGGTTATATATACTAGAGTAGACAACTAGGATTGCTTCTGAGCACATGACAAAGAAAGCAAACATCTAGGATTAAATGTCTATTTTGCAATACGACTTCTGTTTCTGTAGTTAATGGGTCAAAAATCTCCAAGTGATTACAATCATGATCATTTGACTTATCAAAAAGAGAATTTAAGTTAACGAGAAATTAACAGATTTCAGTCTGTTGGAGATGAGAAATTAAGAAAAGAAATTTTTTATAGAAATTAAGATTTAAGAATGACAGTTTCTTACTCTGTCCTTGAGATTTTGTTTGTGTTGCCTTGTTGTTGCTGTTCCTTGCAGTCATTCTCTGACAAGTGATATGGATGCCTTTATATTATAAGTTTATGATTTTTCTTTTGTTTAGGCGAACACGTGGTGGAAGGAAGCTGTGGGAGTCAAAAGATGACAGCAAATGGGGTCACGACAAGTTTGAGGAGTTGACTACACAGGAAAGGCATTATGAAGAGGTGAATAGTTCTACTGATGTGTAATCTGACTGATGAACATGGGTTTTAAGGGACATTTCAAAACACTTCCCCGCTTTTAACCCAACCACCTGAAAAAGTAATGGAAACTTCTGAATATTTTCAGGGTAGGGCTTCTAGGGGCCGCTATCGAGGTCGTGGTAAAAACCAAAGTGTGGACCGTGGATATCCACAAGGGAATAGGCCTAAAGCATATGGCAACAACATTCAGAACAATGCACCTAAGGGTGTGAGAGGGAGAGGCCCAAGAAGGTATCAACCCTCTTCAAAGACCAGCGTTGAGGCACCTCCAACACCAAACAAGCAGTGAGTAAAATAGTTTGAGATGCATGGTTTTGTGTATTTTCTTCTCCATTCATCTACATTTGATGAGCAAGTTATATTCTGTCTTGCTGAATTTTTAGATTCGGAAAGTCAGCTGGGAAAACTGTACATGCCAGTTCAGGTAGAATATCTGCACCTGCATCGAGTGTGGAATCTGATCCAATCCTAGCCAGGAAACATGGATTTGGGTCAAGCTTGAGCTCTGCTTCTCCTCCATTTTATCCATCTAGCTCTTCCAGCAAAGAAATTAGCTTGTCACAGAAAAGGGATGCACAAGTTGGAACAATTCGGCGTAATGTTCGGCCCTCTGTTATGGACGAGAGTTATTCTATGTCACAGCCCAATGCTGTTCTGCGAGGAAAGAATGTAGTAGATTCTATTGGCATGGACAAGCTTTATATTGATGAATCAAATTCTTCAGTTGCTGGGAAGCCTTTGACCAATTTGCAATTTCCTCCTTACGCATTGTCATCAATCAATCCTACTTTATCTCCTCAGGTGCAAGTTCAGGGGAGAGGTCTAACTCCCTTGGGTCAGATGACCCAGCAACCAACAGCACCTCAAAAACAAGTCAACAAAGTTTCTTCGTCAACGCAACTCCATTCTATTCAGCGACATCCTGGTCAAGACCGGATTCAGCATTCTTTACAAGCTTCTGGTCAGCAGTGGGCTCAGAGTCCTGGTAGAGTATCTCAAGCTTCATCTCCACCGAAAGAAGCTCCATCCATTAATTCACTTGAATCTGGAGAACTTGAATCTCCTCCAGAATCAAGTAAATCCAAAACTGCATTGGTTGGAAATGGAAAAGGCAGTGTTCAAGGTAGCGGAAGGGGTTCTTTTCTGTATGGTGGGGCTCAGGTTATGGGAACTTCTGGAAACATGGGTGCTGGGCATGGTGATCAAAATTTCCCCGGAACTCCAGCCTTTTTGCAAGGTGAATCTTCTTATCATAATTTAACTTTTTGCTTCTTAAAAGTGGAAATACCTCTAATATCGAACTGTGCAGTCTTCCCACCGTTGGGATGCTCATACTTCGGATGGGCTGAACTCAAGTGTGATTTTATCTTGTGTTAGTATTATTATCTGTAAGTGTTTTTCTTTTATGTGAGTTGGTTTGTTGTTGACCATTAGGTTATTCAATTTGGCTACTCTGGATTTATTTGTATATACGGATGTTGTGACTTGTGAGACATTTTATCAAAAAGAGAAGTATTTATGAGACAGGAGGAATTTAAAATGCGTCTGTATTTGTTTAGCAAACTTTGAAAAAAAAACATTAACTTTTATGCGTCTTGTTCTTCTATGTTCTTTTATGTACTTGGTTATAATTATATACATCTTTTTTTGGTGAATTGACATGCAGTTATGCAATTCGGGGGGCAGCATCCCGGTGGTGTTGGAGTTCCTGCTGTTGGCATGGCTTTCCCTGGATATGTTGCTCAACCACAACTTGGTTTAGGGAATTCAGAGATGACATGGTATAATATTTTTTTTTCTCCTTTTCAAGTGTAATTTTTTTCAATTAGATGTTTCAATTTTTGTTTTATAGATTATCATGAACTGGACTCTTTATCCTATGTGCTCTGTAGAGTTGATCCCTTGGTCACCCCATAAAACTGACTGAATGATGCATCTTATGTTGTAGGAAATATATATTTCTTCTACATGATAGTGAGTATTTATTAAGTTATAAACTCAAATCATATCATGTATATGTGGATTGTATATATATATCATTTCAACATGTATAGCCATAACAAGAAAAATTTCTCCTGATGTTCTAGTATCTGATCAAAATAAAATGTTGTAACTATTAATAGGATCCTTTGTTTGTATACTAAATTTATGTGTGCCCGAGGATATGCACTATAGTTCGCGGTATGGACTTTTATCAACATTACGTGTGCCCATTTGGGGTTGTACATCTCATGCACCTTTTCTTTCTGTCTCATGGATTCTACACATTTGGAACGTGGTTTTTTCAGGCCAAAAAAGTGGGGGGGGGGGGGGGTTGAGGGTGTCATATGTAGTGTAATTAATTTCTTGATTTTAACCTGAGCTTTGAGTTTTTCTTGTCTTCCCTTATTCCCTATCTATGTCCACCAGTAAACGCTGCATAAATAATTGTTGTAATAACTGTCTTGTGAAATAGAAGTCAAAGGATTTGAACCAACTTCTATCATGTAGACATCCATCCATTTATATGATTTTGTACTTTCTGGAGTATACATCTTATTTATTGCCAATATCAGTTTCTCTCTCGGAGTAACAATTAGTTATTTTCCAATGTTCAGGTTACCGGTTTTAGCTGGTGCTGCAGGAGCACTGGGGGCATCATATTGTCCACCATATATTGCTGTTGATGGTGCTTATCATACTCGTCCATCAGGACAGTCATCTTCTTTGGCTGCTTCTTCAAGGTCAGTAGAATAGCTGTTATAGTCAAATAGTCCAGGTCTTTGTGATCATATATATTCTGTCCTTGCATCACTTCAAAATATTGTGGCGTTTAGCCTACTATTCCATAATGCTAACCTTGCCATCCAATATGCTTCTGAGTCTGTTACATACTTGCAGCTTATACACTTGTTCATTTTATTTTTTTAGCATGTAGTGTACTGTAGGACCTTCCCTTCCCCTTAACAGCCTAAGCACCACCTTCTTTTTTTGGGTTTGGGGCTTTTTGTGTTGTGTGGGTTTTTTTTTTTTTTTTTGGGGGGGGGGGGGGGGGTGGGGAAGAGGATTTGGTTGTGGCACTATATGTACAAGGAATTACTGTAGTTGAGTCTACATTCTGGTCCATATAAAACTTCATGTGGTGTTGTTCCAACTTTTGTGACATACATATTATCCCATTTTGGGGGTTCGCTTCCAATTTAGTTTAGTTGGTTGGGACTTGGGAGTGGAAGGCTCTGTGGTGATGTTGGGACTAGTTGTTATTCCTTCCCTCAATTCTTGCAAAAAGAATGGGACCAAATCTTTTTATTTTATTTATGTGTGTTTGTGAATGCCTTAAAAAAGCATCTCATTATGATCTCCTTATGGATAGTTTATTCAGTTTTCATCTATATATTGGATATGGAGTTACTGGTGTTGATTTATTACAGCAATTGATGACTAATATTATTTTGTTGGGGTAGGAAATGATTGCCCAGTTGGTGAACCTTGTTAACTAAAGCTTCTTTTTCAATTTAACTCTGTAGAAAGAATCTTGAACCTTTCCTTCCTTTTGCAGCAAAGAAAATAACACAAATAAACCCAGTAATGAATGGCAGCCTTCACAGAGATCCGGTAAGACAATGATGCCTTTGGGGCTCTTAGGTTTTAGTCTTTGACCAGACTGTTCCTGTACTGCATCATATTGTGTCACTGAAAAAGCTTTTCTTCTCTGCAGAGCTTCCAAATGATGAGTTTGGGCATCGGCAAAATAAACTTCGCAGGTAAGTTGAAGATTTTGACTTGCTTTTGGCGCTGAACTGAAGAGACCAAATATTGGATTTTTTCATTTCATCCCTCTGTAATCCCCCATTTTCTTTCAGCTGTATATTTTTTCTTCTTTTTGTTTTCTAAAATAATTTTTTTGTTTTTTGAATGGTGATTTCTTTGCAGATATACAGAGATGAAGTTTGATTAGTGAAGCAATTAGATATATTGGGCAATTTGAATAAGCAGATAAAGGTCAAATTTTCCCAATTTATCTCCTGGCATCTCCAAGTGTTGCAAATCCCTGATGGTACTTTGGTGCTGCAGGTCTTCTTCCAGGCCCCTTGTGGTCTCCAGTATCTATTCTGGATCACTTTGGGCTGCCATTTATTCCATGATATCTTAGGTAATAACTCTGTTCTTAGTCTAGGTTTCTATTTTTTTGAAAGGAAAAATTGTATTCCTCGGTTTGCCACGTATGTCATTTGGTACCAAGTGGAGAAAATTGTAGATCATGTGCCAATAATTTTGTGTGCACCTGAAGATGTAGTTTTACTGTCTAGTTGTGTCATTGTGTGTACGTGCAAATGCTCATATGCACATGAGGTGTCGCTGGACGATTTTTAGTATCTATTCCTCATTTGTAATTCTCTAGAAGGCTTGAAGTTTGAAGCAGAATTTGAGGAAAATGCTCTGGGCTCGTTTTGGGTTCAGGCCGAGTTCAAGCACCTCTTTCAGCTGAGCACACCCCAAGCGGCCTGATACTCTAATCATCCTCAGTTCTATTTCTAACTTCATTTTTTTCCTTGTTGCATGGATATTTTGAGCCATATTGTGGTGCCCCCATTATAGTTTCTTCACTATATGTACTCTTGTTTGACTCGAGATTTGAATAGAAATTACCAATGCCATTGGTGTTGAAATCCAGGGTTTGGGCTGATACACATAGGTTCTTGGATTAGGCACTGGAGCTTTGGTTTTCCTTTTTCCTTTAGACGCCTTGTGATTCCAATTTTCTTCCTATGTGTTTCATGTCTTACACCACACATTGTTGGAGAAACTGAACTACCATCAGCTATCAGGAACCGAAACATAGAGAATGTTTGAACTTAAAAGGTGAAATTCCTTTGAAAACTTTAGCATAGTAAACGATTTCTTTTAGAATGTAGACGGTTGTTTTGAGCAATTTTCTTCATTCCCAATGCCGTTGGTTTTAAATTTCTTGTAAAACTGTACATTTACCTCCCTCTCTCTCTCTCTCTCTGTGCCTGTGATATTATTATCAGGTGTACGTGACAAATGCCTGCTCATGCTGCATCATTTAAGGAGAAACGAACATTTCAGTTTGACGGGTGGCAGTTCTTTATTCGAAGGTGTGGTAGGATATAAACATAGAGCTAGAGAACTTTGAACTCTTATTGTTGATATTTGAAATTGGACTAATTTGTGATGTTCACCTCATTTCAATTTCAGGTTTCTTACGGCTTGGTTTTTTCTCCCCATTAAACTTGCTGATTGTTGGGTTTCAAGACATTTATGAAAATAATGGAAAAGAACAAGAAGTATTGTGCAGAAGATATTTTTTTTCGTACACTTGTCGCGTGGTGTTTCTTGGGTTTTACCTCTTTGTCAGTGGCCTTACAGTTGGTCGCTATGCTGGTTGAGGGTCTTTTCTAGCATTCTGTTTATTGCTTGCTAGGTATTGCTGGGTACTGTTCCAAAGGACTCCAGTTGTTATTTCGTGTTTTGTGTACCAAATGGCAAACTTGCGCTATGATGTTTTCTAGTAAATGAAATGTTGAGATTATGGTGTATTAAAGGTGTGCCTCATTTTGACAATGTTGTTTGCTCATGTACAAGAGATTTGCAGAGGCTTCGATCAGAGATGCATGCGAATCTACAACTGGACATTATTCATTCTGTTATTGGTTAGGAATTTCTGAGGTTGCTGTGTTTAGTAAATTCGGGATAAAATATCGACTTAGATAATGGATAAAATATCGTAAGTTGTATAAGTTTTTGATACCGTATGTTGAGTTTTTATAAGTTTCATGGATTAAGAGAAAAGTTTTTCGGTTTTTTGACAATATATTTTTTTTAGGTCATATTATAATTAATAGGATATTTCTAAATAATTGAATTTCTACCGTTTCATAATAGGTACATTGGTCTCGTATGAAGATCCTCTTAAATTCAACTTTTTGTCTTTTTTTGATTCAATTTTAATCATATGTCGCCATTTGTGGAAATTTCAAACTGAGGATCGAAGGCCACATGGCAATAGGCACCCTTGACTATATGGGTCTCAATTTAATAAATAGATTATATTAAAATTAGACATAAAGAGCACGGTTACTTGGTACTACAAACAAAAAATAAATATTTCATAAATATTTTAATTTTTCCTATAAAATCATATAAGTTATTTTAAAAATTAAATAATATTTAATAAATAAGATATATTGACACAAAACACAAACACTATAATAATAGAAAATGATACAATAAAAAATAAGACACGAGGGACACTCCTAAAGTTTATTCATTAATATTATTTAGACTTAATTTACTTATGTAATCTATTATAATTATTAAATTGATACTAGTAAGTCTAAAAAAATAGGGGTAATAGCACTTTAGGTTACTAAATTATGCATATTTTGTCATTTTAATACTCATTGTATCAGTTTTGTCAATTTGATTCCTAAAATATTTGATGCGTGTCACTTTGATCCTTAATCAGACAATTCGTCAATTTTTTTTACGGAAATGATCATGTGTCATTTTTTAAGATAGTATTATGTGTCAAACACGTGATCATTCTGTCAAAAATTTAATAGTTAATTTATGCAGGAATTAAAATAACATAAATTAAATATTTTAAAGACCAAATTAATAAAATTAATATAATGAAAATAAAACTAATAAAAAATACATATTTTGACCAAACGTGCTATTAAACCAATTATGTAAAAGTAAATTGGTAAAAACAGTGCCTTGCTGGCTTTTTCTACGATTGGCCTTCGGTATGTCTTCTACTTCTCTTTAGTTTATTTCATTGACTATAAATAGTTATAGCAAAAGCGAGGTCGTTTCTGGTCGATCAAGGAAGAAAGAAGTTGGTGGGAAAGGATTTAAAGCAAGCCCAAAGGTTTTGGAGGAGCTGGAAGGTAATTGAATTTGTTCAATCATTTTCTTCTTATGCTTGATTTTTTGTAAATTTGACCAATACTTGACTGGATCGAACTGACCAAAAACAAAAAAGACTTCCGACGGCCGGCATAGATCTCATAAGACCCGTCCACTATTACTTAGAAAAAAATTCTTGACCCACATCCATTGATATTGGTTCGTTAATGTCCATTGATCTAGACTCTTTCCGGTTTATACTTCTGTAGCTGTAATAGGAAGTGGAATTCAGGAGATATATCATTGAATTCTGGCATCAGGTAGTAGAATCTCAAACCGGAACCAACAACTTTTGACCATTGTTGGATTCTTATTGTTTTTCAGATCTATAATCCTCCTGTGAACGGGTAAATTTCATGAGGACCCCCTGCCATTAAGTTAAATGACATGGATATTCTTTTACCATTATATTATAAAAATATGGTGGATCTATTTTCACCCCCAAAAATATCAATTTCTATCCACACACCATTTAAAATTATCTATTATTTTGTACATCCCACACTCTAATCTCTCCCCACCCATCACACGTTTTGTAATTGTCAAATTAGGCAACTGGTTCTTTTTTTTTTTTGGGTTCAATGGTGATGAGTGTCTCTGTGTCAACTTACACGGACCTTAACTAATTCACTTCCTAGTCCAGTCAAAGGCGCTACACTGAAATTAGAATATTCATGAGGGATCCCCATGACCTTGCCCCAAAAAAAATTGTCAAGATTCAAATTCAAAACGTCTAGATTTACACTTGTCTTTGTTACCATTTGATCTACCTCTTAGGGTTAATTAGGCAACTAGTTTGGTTGCTGGCATGGTACTTGTTGCCTGTGCACGCAAACTTGGACATTGACTTCAATACTTAAGACTTGTAACCAGAATATGTGTGGTCAGTACTGACAGTTTAGTGGGGGTGATGAGTAAATTAAGAGATGGAGATGGTGAGAGGAATGGTGGTGATGATTATGGGTGGGGTTGTATTGGTATGGTGGCAGTGGTTGGTGATTGTGGGTGTTAGATTGTAGTGATGGGATGAATGGGGGCCTGGGGGTGTAAATTAACTGGCGGTGATGATAATGTATATTGAGATTGAAAGTGGCAGTGGGTGTTCAGATATGATGATGGGTGTTGGGTGATGGTGGGAATGGAGAGATTCGGTGGTGGGTTGTTGCAGTTTGGGGGCTGGGTGGGGGTGACGGTGGTGGGTAATGGCATTGCGTGGTGGGTGTAGATTGAGGACTTAGTTGCTAATGGGGGTTTGTAAAGTTCTACTGCTGCTCCTGATGAAATGTTGCACTCACTTCTTTGTCTTTGTTTTCTTCTTTTTGTTAATTGAACAGATCTTTCTTCGTCAAGCTCTGCCTTAATAGGGTTGAGATCTTTATACTGTTGTAATCTCTGAAAGGGCCATGGACGTTGTGAATCCGATATTGGGCATTGTTCTCCCCTTATTGGATTGCGTTGTCAAACATGCGCAAAATATGAAGGATTTGAAAGCAAGTCGCAAGTCATTGGAAATTGCAATGGGGAAACTAAAAGACATTAGTGAAGATGTAAAGAGACAGGTTGAACTTCTAGAGGAGCAGCAAATGACACGGAGGAAGCAAGTGCAAAACTGGCTACGACAGGTTGAAGTTATAGAAACGCAAGTGAATGAAATTCTGGAGAAATGTGATGAAGATGTTCAGAAGAAATGTCTTGGAGGTTGTTATCCCAAGAATTGTTGCTCAAGGTACAAGCTTGGAAAGAGAGTTCAAGAAAAGCTCAAGGTTGTGGATCAACTGACGAATGAAGGACATTTTGATGTTGTGGCCGATATGTTGCCTCGTGGACGGGGGGATGAGAGGCCTATGGAGGAGATAGTGGGATTGGGTTCGATGTTCGAGAAGGTATTGCGATGGATGAACGATGAACAAGTGAAAATAATTGGAATATACGGAATGGGAGGTGCTGGGAAGACTACCCTTTTGAAAAAAATTAATAACGAGTTCCTCAAAACTGGCCATGGTGTTGATCTGATCATTTGGGTTGTGGTGTCTAAGCAATCAAATGTGGAAAAAATTCAAGAGGCCATTTGTGATCAACTAAAGCTTCCCCATGATGTATGGAAAAATAAAGGTGAGGATGAAAAGGCCATAGAAATATTCAGGATCTTGAGAAACAAAAAGTTTGTACTATTGTTAGATGATATATGGATGCGATTAGATCTTTTGAAAGTGGGGGTTCCTCCTCCAGATGTTCAAAATACATCCAAAATAGTATTCACTACTCGATCAGAGGATGTGTGTGGCCACATGGAAGCTGACAAGAAGATAAAAGTGGAATGCTTGTCGAGGGAGGAAGCGTTGGCTCTGTTTCGAAAGAAGGCAGGTAACAGCACTCTAAATTCTCATCCAGATATAACAAAGCTTGCAGAAATGGTTGCTAAAGAGTGCAGAGGTTTGCCACTTGCTCTCATCACTGTTGGACGGGCCATGGCTGGCAGAAATGATCCCCGTGACTGGGAAAGGGCGGTATCAAAACTGAGAAAAGATCCATCAAAGTTTGTGGGCATGGATGAAGATGTATTTCATGTCCTGAAGTTCAGTTATGACAGATTAGATGATGATGTCATTAAATCTTGTTTCATTTATTGTTGTATATACCCAGAGGATTATGACATTGCAAATGATGACCTCATAAACCATTGGATTGGGGAGAGAATTCTTGATGAATTTGACGATATATATGAGGCACGCAATCAAGGACATGAGATTATTGGAAGCCTAAAGCGTTTATGTTTACTGGAGACTGGTAACTCTCAAGAGCATGTCAAGATGCATGATGTGATCCGTGATATGGCTTTGTGGATTGGTTGTGGGTCTAGTGGAAAGAAAGACAAGATTTTGGTACTAGAACGTGCTGGATTGATTGAAGCACAAGGGGTTACTCCATGGAAGGAGGCAGAAAGGATATCAATGTGGGGAAGTAGTATTGGAGATTTATTTGAGAAACCATCTTGCCCCAATCTTTTGACATTCTTTGTGAGACATACTACTCTAGGGAAATTTCCAACTGGGTTCTTCCAATTTATGCCTGCCATAAGGGTATTGGACTTATCATCAAATTTTCAATTGATCGAGTTACCTGTGGGAATTGATAAATTGGTCATGTTGCAGTATCTTAATTTATCAAATTCACGGATCAGGGAGTTGCCTGTTGGGCTCAAGAATCTTAAAAAAATGAGATATTTGCTAATGAATGCTACATATAGGATGGAGATAATTCCACGGCAGGTAATTTCGAGTCTATCAGAGTTGCGGGTGTTCAGTATATCTGGTCGTGACTCTTCATCGGACATTATTCTGGAAAACAATGTTTTAAGTGGTGGTAGAAAAGCCCTGTTTGAGGAACTGGAGTGCTTGGAACACCTGAATGACATATCCATCACCGTATTTGATAACCTCTCTCTCCAAAAAATACAGAGCTCCCACAAGATACAGAAGTGCATAAGTTATCTATGCATTGAGAGATGTGAGGGTTTGACCTCACTCAGATTGTTGTCTTCATCTTTGCAAGGAATGAAGCATTTAGAGAGACTTGATATGAATTACTGTGAGATGGTATCTCTGGAAATTTATACAGAGCTAGAGGGGACGCAGGGATCTGTACTTGATACTTTTCGTATTTCGGAGTTTATAAGAGGCGACTATTTCCATAATCTTCGTGATGTGTATATAGCCTATTGTGATAATCTGTTGGACTTGACATGGCTTATTTATGCTCCAACCCTTCAACTTCTCGATGTAGCTCACTGTGAAGCAATGGAAGAGATTGTCCACCACCACCGTAGTAGAGAGGTTCCAGAGATTGAAAACAGCTCGTGTATATTCTCAAGGCTCGCAAAAATAAGTTTGATTAAGCTTCCAAGGGTTAAGAGGATCTATCCGCGGGCCTTGCCCTTCCCTTCACTTATGGAGGTCCGTGTAGGGTCATGCGCAAGGCTAAGGGAGCTCCCATTTGATTCAAATAGTGCAAAAAATAGTCTAAAGGAAATCAGAGGAGCAGCATGGTGGTGGAATAGTTTGCAGTGGGAGGACGAAACCATTGAACCTATATTCCGTTCATATTTTGTAGAAGAAGGTTTTATTTGGTAAAGATGGAGAGGGGTGCTGTGTCAATTCCAATTAAGGTCCAGCAATTTTAGATTTGAATCTCTTGTCTGGGGGGTTCAAAAGTTTTGTCTATATCAAGTCCAGTCGAGTAATTTCAGACACTTGAATCTCTTGTCCGTGGCATCAAACTTCACTGTTTCCATGCCGGTAAACTTTTGTTGCTCCATTAAATTACATTTACTTCTTTGAATTCCTGATTTTTCTTGTAAATGTCTTTTGTTCATTCGAATGAATGTCTATCGTAGTGGAAGTGTTCTCAGTTTCAGAAATTTATCAGATACATTTTCAGGATTAATTCAAAATTAGTTTCAGATATTTATCCTTGTACAAGTGGTAATTTTCAAGACTTAAGCCAACGGCCTTCCGCCGCCGCCAAAACTCCGGCAGCTCGGTATCTATATTCTATGTCTGACATACCGATGCAATGGATGAGAAGGTGCTGATAAGGGAATCAGACAGTCGAGGCCAATGTCATAAGAAAGACCTGGAATGATCTCCATGGCTGGAATATTCATACACAACTTGTAAGTAAGAAAAGAAGGTTTGGTCCCTCAAATATGTATTTTTTGTCAGTTTAATTCTCATTATATTAATTTTGTCAATATGGTCCTTAAAATATTCAGTTTGTATCACTTTGATCTCTAATCAATTAATCCGTCAAGTTTTTTGACAGAAGTAGTTACGTGTCATTTTATATTTTTTATATGGTATCACATGTCCAACACGTGATTATTCCGTCAAAAACTTAACATTCTGTTTATATATGGACCAAAATGACACGAATTGAATACTTTAAGGACCAAAATGACAAAATTGATTCAATGATGACTAAACTGATAAAAATGCATAATTTAGGGATCACAAGTATTACCCAATTATTTAATACATTATATTTAGCCCCCTAATTTTTTAAAATTTTTAATAATGGTTCCAATCTTTTCTTTTTTAATAAATTAGAGGTTTACTAACCATCTAAAAAAAATATTTTATTTTTGGATTGAGTAAATCAAATGTAATTATCCTAATCTATTTATATATTGAAAAATATACAAATTTTTCTTTATCTAACACAATATTCGTTACTTTTTAAGAATAATTTTTAGTTTTTATTTACCATTTTTTTTTATAATAGTAGTCTATAACCCAATAAAATACAATTATATATAAAAGATAAAAGATTGTAACTTGAAAATATTTCAAACTATTTCGAATAGGAAATTTATCTATAAGATCGATAATAATTTTAACTAAGTTTTGCAACTAAATGAAGAATCATTTTACTACGGACTTGTAATTGTGTGTATTGATAAAAAATTAGTAAAAAATAATTTTTATTTAATTAATATACAAAATTTTAGTGATTTTAAAGAACATTATAGTTTATTGAAATAGTAGGAGTAATACATGTCTGAAGGTACGGTGTAATATTACTGGATTTGAGGAGGATGTTAGTTGCCGTTGAATGAGTTTGTTTAAGATCGTCGGATGGATTTATTGAAATATGTCATTTTTTATATTATATATATAATGGGGTTAAATGTACTAAAGAAATTATTTCTTCTTTTTTTGTTCCGATTTTGTATTGCTTAAATAAAAATTAAATTTATTATTTCACAATAATTTTATCTTGAGTCTTAATTTTTTGTTATTCTTGAACTTAATATTTTTGTATCAACTAGTGAATTACTTTACAGTTACCAGCAAAAAAAAAAAAAGAATTATTTTAGTTATATTTTATCTCTTCATAGATATTTTTGACTCCGTCATTTATATAAGTTTTATATAAATAGTGGGTGGTCCATTCCATCTTTAAAATGTTTTGCAATCTTCTAGAAGGTTGAGCGATATTGAAGTTAAAGAGAAAGTGACATTGTGGGAAGCCATGGCATTGGCTCTAGAACGTTTGTTATCCTGTTGTTTTCTTCCAAAGATTTTACGTTTGCCTGTTTTTATAATCAATTAAAGTATTGAATATGGTCCTTAGACAAATGTCTAAATTGTTAATAATTTTTTTATTATAAATTTATCACATAATACTTAAATATGAGTAAAAACAAATTTTAGTAGCTCTTTATTAAATTTTTATCTAAATTTTGGTCAAAGAGTTATCTAAATTATACATTTTTTATCAAGAATTACCAAAATAATTTTTGTGTTCGTATTTAGGTATCACGCGACAAGTTTATGATAAAAAATCACATAGAAACATATTCAATACTTTGGGGACCAAAATGAGACAAAATTAATATTTTGAGAACCTTTAATATAATTAACCCTTAATTGAAAATGGGTAATTTAACAACAAAATAATTTATCATTTTTATGGGTGATTTACCACTTTTGTGAGTATTTTTATTACATTTGTTGTAACTATTTTTATCACTTTTTTTTGATACTATAACAGTGATAAAAATATTCATAAATATGATAAATTTAATTGTCATTCCAAAATCTAAACAAAGTGTACTATCAATAAATTTCAATTCTAACAATTTTCTCTTTGTATAAAACCTAAACTTAAATCAAAAAATCTACTTGATAATTTAATTGGAGTCCTAAATTTTGGAGGCTCTATGCGATTATTTTAATAAATCGGACTCTAGGATCAACCTTGTTGTGTCTCCTTCTGTTCAAAAGATTGAATTGTCTGCGCATCTTGTAATGACCGTAGTCTTTGCGAGTCTCTTATTGTCGAGTCTTCGTTCATTTAACTGATTAGGTAAGACAAAATTAATCATTAGATAACACACAAAGGTTAAAGGTAATAACCATATTTTATTTTAATTTATCAAAAATCTTGCGTGGACCGTTATAAGGTGGTGTTATAATAAAGATATTTAATGTTACTAAGTAGTGTTACATAATTTTTTTTCTGGTAATTTAGACATCTAATATATATTAAATATTATATATATATGTTATTTCATACATATGCTATCTGCATGCAATTGTACGATAGTATAATTCATATGAATTATACAAAAATGGTATCGTACTATTAATTATTATTTTTGTTGTATTTTCATACATTGTTCATATAAAATAATGTATCTACGTTGAAAAAATTTTATTGGGTTATATATTTTGAAAAAATTGACAATATTTTTTTAAAAAATAATAGGTAAAAATTATTTTTAAACGATGTAATCAAAGAAATGAAAAAATAAAAAATTGTTATTTAGTATAATGAGATCAATTTTTTAAACGCTCGAATTTTATATTTAATTATACCTTCACGCACGGGTTATGAGTAGTTGACTTATATAATGGATAAAATATTGTAAGTTGTATAAGTTTTTGTTACCGTATGTCGAGTTTTTATAAATTTCGTGGTTTAATAGATAAGTTTTTGGGTTTGTTAACAATATAATTTTTTTAGGTCATATTTTAACTAATCGAATAATTCTAATTAATCGAATATTTACCTTTTTATAATAGGTATATTTGTCTCGTATGTGGGTCATCTAAAATTCAACTTTCTGTCTTTTTTTTTTGTTTTTCAGTTTTAATCTTATGTCGCCATTTATTGAGGATCGAAGGTCACATGGTAATAGGCACCCGGGTCTCAATTTAATAGATAGATTATATTAAAATTAGACATAAAGAACACAATTACTTGGTACGATAAATTGAAAAAAAATATTTCATAAATATTTTAATTTTTTCTATAAAATCTTATAAGTTATTTTAAAAACTAAATAATATTTAATAAATAAGATATATTGACCCAAACACAATAATAATCGAAAATGATAGGAGCAAAAATAAGACATGATTGACAATGGTAAAGTTTATTGATTAATATTATTTAGACATAATTTTGTGATGTAATCTATCATAATTATTGTATTGAGAGAAAATCTAAAAAAATATTGAATTTTATTGTTAATCTAATGACTATATTTGATTAGGTATAAGTAAATTAATAAATTAGATCGAAGTTGCATTACAAGCTGTTTCTACGATTGGCGTTCGACATATCTTCTACTTCTCTTTAGTTTATTTCACTGATTATAGTTATAGCAAAAGTGAGATCATTTTTGGTCGATCAAGGTAGAAAGAAGTTCTTGGGAAGATATAAATCAATCCCAAAGGTTTTGGAGGAGCTTGAAGGTAATTTGATTTGTCGCTTCTTATGCTTGATATTATGTAAATTTGACACATACTTGACTTGGTCAAATTGTCCTTCTACCTTCTTTTGATTTAGACTCTGACGGGCGGCATAGAACTCATGAGACCCATCAACTGTTACATTGAAAAAACATCTGTCTTTTTCTTTCGCTATTAGGAGAGTAAGTAATTATTATTAGTATTAATGCTGGACCTTAGAGTCGAATTGATCATGACATATGTAATGTCTATTAAAGATGGTTCATTAATGTCTATTGATTTAAACTTCTTCCGATTATAGGAAGTGGAATTCATGAGAGATATCTGTGAACAATGTTAACTGGAGTGGATTGGGTTTAATAATTTAGCGAATGAAATTAAAGGCCCGAAAATTTAATTTTTTGAAAATAAAAGGAAAAAAAATAAACAATAAAACTAAAAAGCTACTAATAATCAATTCTTAACCTCGTAAAAAAGCCAAATTTAAAATTAGCATCGCAAATTTTCAATTATTCTCTCTCCATATCTCACTTAGCATAAGTTAAGTTACGATAACAAAAGTTTGAATATAAAATTTTAATTATTTTTTTCTAATTTTTAAAAAAGATTAAATATATTATTAATATATATTTTTTGTTTTAGACCCCCCAAAATGTCTTAGGGCGGCCCTTGTATGCCTGCCTTGCGTTGGGTTTTTTTTGTGTTACATTTGTATTTGATATTACTTATGCTGTGGTGGTTTCAGATAGTAGTATGGTCACGTGGGGCAGGGCGCCTCTACTGTTCCTTGATAAGTGCTGTTAGCCCAAACGATGCCGCATCAACGCAAGAGCTTCAGTAGGCTCCCAAAATTCAAGACAAGGCACAACAAATATTAGTAAGGACTTTGCCTTGAATTTGATACGAAAATTTGTCAAATAATTGGATTAAATCTGATATTATAATTCTAATCTAAGTTTGAATCCAATAGAAAAATTGTAATATTAAATTTAATCCAAATACTTAACAGATTTTATTTTGAATAATCTATATTCAAATTCAATTGAATATAGATTTTAATTCAATTTCATAAATTGTTATAGAATAGAGATTTGCTAGTACTTCCTTCTTTACACACACCTCTCGAATAAGATCAAAATTTTAACAAATATAAGTATATTTAAATATACATTTACGAAACATGATATAATTGACTTAAAAAATATTAATTTATATACATGTAATCAAAATTGAACCAAAAATTCAATCAATCAAAAATCATATCGTCAAAATAATTTCTATTAAAAAAAATCTACAAATATCATATGTAAAATATTATTTTTCTAATTAGTATGAATTATTACAGAATTAAAGAATTTTTTCACTTGATTTAACTTGCATAAATATCAGATAAATTTTTATTTTATAAGAATACATCAGCGTTGAGTTTTCTTAAGAAATAAAAAAAAATTAGTGTTAAACTCTTGATTCATTTGTATCAAATATGTGTAAGACGTGTTAATTTGAGATATTTGATATGATTAATAAAACAAATAAATAAATTTTAAAATTAATTATATTCACCATAATATAAAACATAAAATAGGATAATGAAATACCATATGTCTATGGGGTAAGCACCGTCCTTGTCAATATCTGTTGGGGGCAGTTTTTGTCTTATATTGATGCGCCACCGAACAGCAGAGTAGTGGGGAATATTGGAAGGTTGCAGGCTTAACTTTAAGCCGTTCACTCCAGCGATGCTTGGCTGCCAACCTAGCACTTGCGTGTGTGTTTCTCTCCATTAAATGCTGATAGTGGGAGGGAGACGTATTTCTTCCTTCTTTGAGGGATCCGAATGCCATGATTCTCACTTTTTTCGTACACTTGTTACGTACGGATAAGTTTATGCAAAAAATGATATTGTACAATTATTTATTATTTTTATTAGTATTTTTATTACTTTTATAATACTAATAATTAATCCCAACATTTTTATAACAAAAGAACCAATAAAAATTATAAAAATACTCAATAAAATAATATAAATTACGATACCCAAAATAAAAATCAATACCATAAGTCTACTATTGTGTGGTGGTGATATCGATTTAAATAGATTCTTAACTAAATGATTGTTTACTTTTGGTACAATGTTATTTTGACTTAATTTAATGACTTAATGCATTGTGATATTAATTCTAATAATAAGTCTTAATATTTAATAAAATATATTATTTATCCAATATTCATAAACCATTGTATCTTTACCAATTAAATCTCAGTAAATAGTCTCAGTAAATCGAGAACAAAGGAAAGTCAAATGCATGAGTTTCCTAAAACTGCTGGGTTGGTCAAATGTAAGAAACCTTATAATATATTCCACATTGGTTCTGCGACTTAAAACCCATGATACCCAACTCACAATGGAACAATCTCATCCTTGTGTGTGAGTCTGCCTTCAGTCTTAGTGGGCAAACAGAAAACTGGAATTGAGGAACACATTCGAAGGTGTATTGTACGCAATATCCTTGATAGAGTCCAAATGGTTATTCCCCTGGAATGGATATAAAAGATGATGATGATGTTGCTTAAAAGATTAACTACTTATGCTCTGAAGTTGGCTCTCAGAATTCACATCAGGATAGTTCAGCGATGCAGTCACGTAGTTACAGATGTGCTCACAGTTCATTTCCACGTGGGTTTTTTTTTTTTGTGTGGGTTGGGGCCTCCTCCAAGAGGTGGGGATTGAAATATTTAAGGGCAAACTTCACTTTATCTCCCCGTGGTTAATTCATTTTTCATATTACCTCCCTCAAATTTAAAAATATGACTCATAACCCCCCTGTAGTTTGTGGACTAAAGTGCACTGTTACATTTTCCATCCAAATTAATCATTTGAGAAAGTTACACGCCTAAGGTTTACAGTGGGTATGCAAATAATTTTTTTAAAAAACAAAATTACCCTTCACTTTACTTTCCTATTTTCTATCATCTTTCTCTGTTTCTGATTGCCGGTGGTGATAAAAAAACCCCACCCACCACCGCATCGGCAACCCCTCCATCCCAACAACTACTCTCAGCCATAAATCTTCAATAAAGTACAAACCACTTCAAACCCAAAAACACTAAAACAAAAACCAGTAGATTCGACAAGAGTTAGTGGATTCGACATTCCCTCCACTCTCACTGATGGGTATGTAGAAACTAATTAGGTCACCAAAAAAACACAACAAACAGACCCAAAGCAAATAAAAAACAATGGCTAAATTTTTTGTTATAGGGTATCTCATAAATTGCAACACAAATCAAGCATAAACATAGATAGAAAATACCATATAATTTCACTCCAAAACTCCTATATATTTCATCAAAGTTGAGTACAATAAAAACTAAAAATAAAGGAGAAGCTTATCTGATTTTCAGCAAGAATGACACACAAAAACCAACTCGTAAATCAACGAATGAAATTTCGGCTTCAGCGACTTTCTCCTCCAGCAACTCTCAGTTTTAAGATAAAAAAATAACTCTGTTTTTCATCTTTTATTCTGTGTTTTTTCAGGTGCCATCACGCCTTTTCATACTTTGTTTGATATCTGAATTGATTTTTATTGTTAATTATGCATTGAATTCAGTTTGTGCTTTGGTTTTTTTGTTTCATTTTCAATTTTGGATCTTTGAAATTGAGACTTTAGATTTGTAGATTATTCAAATGTTCACTATGAAAGAAGGGGTTGGGTTTGCTCTTGAAGAAACAAATTAAAGGGTATTAGGGTCCTTTTATTATTTCTGTTAACAGTGTTAACATTGCATTTTAGTCTACAAACCACATGGGGGTTATGTGTTTATTTTTAAATTTGAGGGAGGTAATGTGAAAAACGACTTAACTACAGGGAGGCAAAGTGAAGTTTGCCCAATATTTAATCATAAATTTTTCAGCTCATTGATGTTTACATTTGCACCAAAAATAATCAGAGAGAAAATGATCTGAATTTAAAATAAGACTTATGTCTTAGGAAAAAGGCAATTTGATCTAGGAACCATTCGATTCTACAATACAACTTTCTGAGATGTACTAGAAAATTGTGCAATTCATGCCAACGAAGTCTTCACTTTCACAAAATTTTTTTTTTTAAAACAAATCCCAAGAATTTTATATATCACAAAAATAATAGCAACAACATGAATATGTCCAAGAAAACAATATTCAAATAAATAACAAAATCAAAAATGAACACCCAACCAAAGGAATCATATAAACCCTTCTCTCTTCCTCCACCTCTCAGCCTACTGACCCACCATGGTCAAGGCCTCATGAATCAGAGAAGTAAACACTATATGATCAGAAGAGAAGTCCAAAGGCAGTGGCGGAGAGAGAAGCCAAAAGGGTAGTTACAAAAATGGTGGCATCTGAGGTAGGGCTTGGTGCTGGAGCCTCAGCTGCAGCCACATTTTGCACTGCTGAAAGTGCCATCACCATCATCACAACAGCAACGAAAAGCTTCATCTTCATTGCCTCCATTGTCAAAGAATTTTTTGAGCTTTTTGTTGCAGAGATTATAAAAAGTAAGAGAGAGAGAGAGAGAGAGAGAGAGAGAGAGAGATTAATGTGAAGGCAAGAATGAAGCACTTTCACAAAAATTAAGCATGTTTCTCATTCATAAAATTGACTATCAATAAGTTTCAATTCTAACAATTTGCTCGACATTGTAAAATAAAACCTAAACTAACTCAAAAATCCAAAAACATTAACATAGAGGAAGAAACAAAATGCAGTCATGACCAAATGCTACTTCAACAAAATCTCCTATATCCAACTGTTTTCCTACTTCAATACCAATTCCTCCTCCTACCTGAAAAAAAAACACACACACACAGATATAAACCAAAGGCAAAATAGAGAAAGAAACCAAACCAAATGCAGAAGAAACCAAACTAAACCAAATGCAGAAGAAACCAAACCAAATGCAGTCATAAAAAAAACTTAAATATTTTCACAATCATCACCAAATGCAGTCATGAGAATCAAAGAGTATACCTATTCTCCATTGCCGAAGATCTGACGGGCTATTTTCAACGCCACCGCCAAGAGACTGGTACCACCATTCTCATTTCCACCATTGTCATCTCCACCATTCTCATCATCAGGTCCGTCAGCCTCCTCCTTCTTGCTCACCCCATTCCCACTCCCATTCTTCGGCCGCTCCTCCGGTTTCTTACCCACCCCATTCCCCTCCTTCCCCTTTATTAGGGGTGGAGGTCCACCAACAGAAGAAGATTTAGCAGAAGAGATGTCATACCGCATCAGACGAATCTCCTCCTTCAGAGACAAAATGGCAGAAACTAACTCATCGTCTCTACCAGACACCATATCTTTTAAGCACTTAGAAATGGTCTCATTGAGGCCATTTCTACGAATTTTGTTTCCACCCTCAATAGAAGAACTGAGGGTGGAAAACTTTTCTAAGTATTTCCAGGGGACGGTGGAGGCTGAATCGGAGGGGGCAGGTTTGGAGGAGGCGGGTTTTGGGGAGACTGTTTTGGTGGGTGAAAACGGTTTCAAAGCTTTTGGACGACGGAAATCGTTCCATTTCTGTACACGGAAATGTCCATGTCCATTGCGAAGAAATAGTTTGACATAAATCACCTTCATCTCCGGTCTGGCACAGTAGTCACGCTCACACTGGTCACAGTAGTCACACCGAGGTGACAATATTTATAGCAGAAGGGTTGGGCTTAGATTTGTTTGGGCTTAGTTAGTTTGGGCTGGGTTAGTTTGGGGTTCATTTTGGACATAGATTTGATGGGACAGAGTAAGTCAAGGCAAGTCAAAATTTGAAGTAGAAGGGTAGGGCTTATATTTGTTTGGGTTGTATTGGTTTTGGGGTTCATTTTGGACTTAGATTCGGTGGGATCAGCCAACTGATTGGCATGGTAGGTCTTTGAGTCTTGATATTACCAGGCCCCTGGTGCTAGCACTGTTGCATTGTTATTTAATGCCAATTGAGGGTACAATCCCCAAGAAGTATATATTGCAAACTGAGTCCTCTTTCTTCCTCAATACATAAATTATAAATTTTAAAACTTTTTTAGGATACAAAAATGTCATTCACGCTAAATTTAAAGATGTGATTTAAATCACATTTTATTAAAAAAAAAAAAACTTAAAGTAGCCAAAAAAAACACAAAAATATAAAGTATATGAAATAGATTCTCATTGTTTAACATCACAAAATTCATGTGTACTCAAATTGCTCATTATTGGAGCACCTTATTCGTAGGCAAGATTTTAAATAGCATTATGTCATCATTTTTGACTAAAAATAAAGGACTTTATTTGGCAATGCTTTTTTTGTTTAACTATTTTATAACCAATGCATTTTGTCATTTTAAATATAAAAAATATAGTAAAATAAATACACAGTCCTCAAACTATGGCTATTGTGTCAATTAAGTCTCTGAATTTTTTTTTTTTGTGTGTGTGTCAATTGAACTCTTGAATTCTTTAATTGTGTTAAGAAGTCTTTTTGCTTGCTTCTATTAGAGTTTCTAACAGAAAGTGGCGAATTATACCACGCATGTGACACAAAAAGTAGGAATAAACTACATATATCCTCAAATTATGAATGTTGTGCCAATTAAACCTCTAAATATTTTTATGTCAATTGAGTCCCTAAACTTCTTTATTTGTGCCGATTAAGATCTTGTTTTTTTGTGTCAAATAGTCACATGAGTTGCACACTATTACGGAGACAAACATAATGATTCAATTAATACAATTAGAGAAATTTAGGGGCTCACTTGAGACCAAAAAAAAAAATTAAATTAAAAGCTTAATTGACATAAAAATTATAATTTGAAAGCCATATATATAGTTTACTTTAAAAAATACTCCAACTTTGAAACTTATCCGTGGGGTTGCTTTTGTGGATCTTCTAGATAATGGGTACATACCAAGTATTAAAGAATAGAAGATTTGAATAATAAGGAAAAACTCAATTGATCTATACTTTAGAAATGTACTATATTTAACATATACAATCGATCTATAGTTTAGAGATCTTTGATTTGATAGGCTTCGGAGGTCTTGATTCATACTGAATTCAGAGCAATCAAAGTTCAAAATTAAGTTTTCTCACCTATATTGATTGCCACCATTACCATATGATATAGAATGTAGTATAATATTTAACTCACACAATGTATTTATAAAAACTTGTTCTTAATGTTCTGTATATTTTCTCTACCTCTAAAATCGCGTCTTCTTTCCTCGCGCAATTGTGCGTATTTTTTTGTTGGGTCAATTGTGAGGTTTTAGGGGTTTGGTCCGTGAATTATTGCACTTAGGATGAAGTTCTGAGGTGTTTTGTGTTGATTTTGTTAGCTTCATACATTAGTAAACGTTGTTTGTCAATTTGATCGACAAAGATCATCTCTAACTGGAGTTTTGGAAGATTAGAATTAGTGAAGAATGGAGATGAAAAAGATCGCAGATCCACTGGTCTGCCACGGGCATTCTCGCCATGTCATCGACTTGTTCTACAGCCCAATCATTCCCGAAGGGTTTTTCCTCATCAGTGCCAGCAAGGGTAAATGCCAATTTTACTTGAGATTATTAGTTTTTGATTTTTTATTGATACATGTGGTCCATCGAGTTGCTGATAATTACTTGTAGTTTATCGCCTTTAATTTTGAGGAATATTGACTGGTTTTCCTCCTTAGCTGTTTTGTCTCTGCCGATCTTCATTACTGAAGAATTTTAATCATCTGAACTTGAAGTAGAAACTGGAAGGAAGAATAAGTATAGAGTTTGTATGATGCCCCCTCAATTATGTCCCAATGGCATTAGTGAATATATTAGCAACAAACTAAACATTCGTCATTGGCTGAACCAAACAAATTAAAAGGTCCAAAACCCTGATTTATTATTAACCAATCCTCTTGCAAAGTGGAAGTCCAAGAAAAACTTTACCATGGGACCGTACCAAAGCCTCCAACTACACACCCAAAGGCAAGCCTTCTATCAGAAATCTGCAAGTCCCTAACCGCTAAAGTTAACCACATATGAAGTAACTTACAGACCCACAAAAATTCACATAAAAATGCCTAAAGGAACAAAGAGAAGAACCACTACAACAAGAATACAAGGTGTATCATACTGATAATGAAAACCAGCTACTGAAACTTTTATATTCAGATCTTCCTGAGGCAAATATTATTGCTCATATAGGGTAATACATCCTCAAATTCATTTCAAAATACCTAGAAAACACTGGACAAAAACAGCCGAGTAGAAGCCACAAAACCAAATGTTGTGTAAACGAACCATACCAGAGCAAGAACTTAGGCACCTTTCTTCACATCCCCACACATAGAATCAAAGTACTCCCTCCTCATTTCACATTCGTGGCTTTCGTTGCCATATTTGCTCATACACTGCATTATAGATTCACAAATTACACACACATGTATAGTAACGTAATGAAAGCAGAACCTGCACAACCAGAGAGCCTAATGATAATAACATATTAAAGGCCACACCCTCAATGCATAATTTAGTAACCTGAACCCTTTTTCTTCCTGTCTGCCCATTCACTGACCACTAACAACCACAAACTTTTAAAACCGTCAACTCACTGACCGCGATTTCACATCTTTCCCACCCCCATGAAAATAAAATAACGAGATGTTGTTTCCTCTATCCTTCAATGGCTATCTCATAATCTTGGCAATATTCGGCGGACATCATTGACTTCGAGAAACGAGAATCATTTTTCAACACCAGCTGGACATATATAACATCTCACGTTTTCCCAGAGTAGCATAAATATATTAATTTTACAGATTTATATCATTATTTCACAAAACCACTATAGATACCTGCATTGCTTTGTTAGTAGTATGAGAATACAATATGTAAAAAATAAGAGCACAATTCTATGCTGTTAAAGTAAATGGAAGTATTAGGGATATGGATGTGTACAGCTATATGCGCCAAACTTTAGGATCAAATGTTCTGTAGAATCGTCTCTTATTTTTTTCCCCAAGACCACCTACTAACAGTCAACAAAACAAAGGGACCAGTACAGTTATGAAGCAAAAAAAACAGTGCATAGTAAGAAGTATTTTAGGGCTTCTGAACGACCAGTTTGGCCTTGAAGTGGAGGGTGTAAGCTTTCAAGGTGCAGCAGTGGTCGCTTAAACAAGATGTTTGAACACAACATAGAATTAACTTACAATAAAAGAAGATAAAATGAACACCATCTCATTTAAGCCTCTCATTAATCTAGCAGTCCCTAGAGTGCAGGCTTAGACAAATCCTGAATAAAATGAGCATGATATTGACATGGCAGTTAAATCTAGTACTATTTTCTAATATAAATTTAGAACAGATGGATTGGAGACCCTACCTCTTCCAAGATTTTGGAAAGGTACTTGCATCTTGTAGAAATGTTAGGTAGCAGCAGGTGCATAGAATATTCCGCCATACTAGTAAAACCCTCGGCAGCTGCAGCTTTAATTAACCTCTCTCTAGTCTCTGAAAGGGAAAAAAAAAAAAAAAAAGCAGACACAAGAATCAAATTTATGAATAGAGGACAAACAGCTTGTGTAAGCATCTCTGGACCACAGAGAACACAGCAAACCAAACATAAGGATAAAATTTTAACTACTCTTTTGTGTTTGAGGAATAAAATATAAGAATATTGGTCTCACCCACTTACCGTCTGGATCAGGAGACCAAAATGGCCCACGCCTTTCAGCCCTCCCTGTGAAGTGATGCAGAGGGCAAACAAAATTAGAGAAAGTAGGAAAAACCAAAAAAAAAATGCATCTTTGTCGGAGCCCATTATTTGAAAATCTGCGACAGATTGTTTTCTTAAATTTTTCCTTTGAAAAATTGCATCTTTGTAACAGCCCATCTAGCACTCTCCATATTATACTTTTAGATACTTTATCATACGCCATTTCAAGATCAATACAAATACTATATGGAGATTTTTTTTATTCCCTCTTTATTTTTCTACGAGTGTCCTTAATAAATACATAGCATCTATAGTTGATCTACTAGACATAAACCTAAACTAATGTTCCAAGAGTGTAGTCTCAAATCTTAGGCGACATTCAATGACCCTTTCACATAGTTTAATTGTATAATTCATCAATTTTATCCCTCTATAATTATTATAATTTTGAATATCTCATTTATTTTTATAGATATGTACTAAAATACTTTTTTTCTAGTCATCAGGCATTTTCGAAGCAGCAATAATTATATTGAATAATTTCATTAGCCACGACATCCCATTATTCCCTATGCACTTCCAAACCTCAATTAGAATCTTATCTGATCCTAAAGTCTTGTCTAATCTTATTTTCTTCAATGCAATTTCTACCTCCAAATTCTTCTTGTACAAAAGAACGTGTGCCCTAGTTTCATGAATCCTACAATTTTCTTTCTCTCCTAAATTTCCTAAGTGATTTTCATTGAATAGTTTCACAAAAAAGTATTTCCATCAATCATTTATTTCCTCACACTTAACTAAAATCTTTGAATCCGCACCCTTGAAGCACTTGTAGATTTATTTCTCTAGTTTTAGCTAGTTTGTAGATGTCTTTTCTCTCTCTCTCTCTACTATATAATTTTTTATACAATTCCTCATAAACTTTTAACTTAACATCTTCAATTATCTTTTTAACTTCTTTATTAGTTAATTTATATCTTTAAAAGTATTCGTTATTTCTATCATTTTGCCTCTCTTAAAGAATTATTTCTTTGTTTTACCTACATCTTGTAGGTCATCATTCCACCCCCAAGTTTCTTTTCCCACAAGTCCTCTACCTTTGACTCAGCAAGAACTTCTTTCGAAATTTTTCTAATGCATTCTATACATTAGTCGCATATATATATATATATATATATATATATATATATATATATATATATATATCTATTAAGCAAAATTGCACTGACACCCCCAATATAGCTATAGGAGAGAGTACAGCACTGTAACATTATGTTTAATCCTTCAAAATCAAGATAAGTCGCGATTAAAGCCCATTCTTCCATCGCTGAGATTTTGCCTGGAGTTCCCCTATATTTCTCTTTTTAAGAGACATAAAATAAAAGAAAACATAGAAATCAGAGAAAACAAATTACTAAGATCGTTCAACATTATAGGCAAAAACCAGTAAAATTTCACTACTCATCCAATGAATACACCAAATAAACACAAATCCTATAAATAGAGAGAGAGATTGAGAGAGAGGGGGGGGGTAGGGGAAAACAAACCCTAGCGAATAACATGAATCAAACAGAACGGAGTAAAAAAAGTGAGAAAGGCTAGGGTTAGGGTTTACTAACGTCGATAATAACCACCACGCCCCATGATCTCTCACAAATTGTCACAAAGTCACAAAGTCGGAGAGGGGCAGGCTGTATAAATCGCTCGCAAAGAAGGGAAAAAAAAACAGAGGAAAACGAAACTTCTGTCCACCGCTTTGTTTGGCGAGAAAATAGACCTACGGATCCGAGGGCCTCCCTTAATTTAGGTTAGAGATTTGAGATAGAAGTTTTTATTATGTAAAATTCTTCGTGCATTTCTATTGTTTTATTATTCGATCTTTATTTATCAATCAATCTCACGGTTGATACTGCCCTAAGAATTACTCCTCAAGTTTGTCTAACTGACCCCAATTATATAATATCTCCATCTTCCCCCTCCTAATTTGCCTATAATTAAAATTACAACTCCCAAATTATCTTAATACCTCCGCCTTGCTCAAGGCCAGAGTTGAAAATTCTTTCTTGAGTGGATGCTTAAACAAGGTTTCTCTAATAAAAGTAAATCGTAACTAACTAGAGAAAAAGTATAATTTCTAGAGATTATACGATCATTATGTGTTGTACAATCAACGATCACTTATTCGCCTCTCTCCTCCGCCTCTTCTTTCAAATGATCCCTCATTTTAGTTTCATGAGAATGTTCTCATTATACAGATAACTAGATTTTTATTTTTTTAAACTCCCAATTATTGTAATTTTATGTCATGTGGTTGATTTTTTAAAAAACTAGTAAAAATAAACCTTATTTTACTACACAATGGTCGTAATTTTTATATAATAACAAATTAACCTTGTAATTTTTTTTATGTTATAAATAATCCCAATATAACCAAAACCTTATATGGAAATTAGTCATGTTTGAAACGTGTCCAAAAATCACTAGTCATTTAGGTATTAATTCATATGAGATGAAAAATCATAGAATGTGCATAATTGAATGTGCTTAACAAACATTTATAATACATGTAGATAATGTTAAGAAAACTACTAGTCCTCAAGTGGCTACGTCACTGATCTGGCTCTGTCCCTCCCTCCCGCCCGCATTAAAAGAATAGAATTAATTAGCATATAAAAAGATTTTTATAATTTCATTATAGTATTTTCTATAAATTATAGTACATAAAAAAATAAGATATATATAATATAGAGGATATAAAGAACGTAGCCGGAATCAAACTCACATCGTTAGCATGTAAGGCTAGGGATTATGGTCAACGTGAATTCATCATTTTTAAAGTCTCTTTAATTCAAAATCGAACATAAAACTTTGGTTTCATTTAGTGAATGTCTCCCAATTAAATCCCAATTGTGTTAGGGATTTCATATTTTATTTTTTCATTTAACACAAACTCTATATCTCCAACTTTTTATTTTGTATTGTTGATTGACATACTCTAACGAGGAAGGGATTTCTTTTTTGATTTGTGGTGGTGATTGTAGTTGTGATGGAGGTGGTGGATGCAGGGGTATAACTCTACGTGTGTTTCTATGGTGGGGATGGGCTCGGTGGTAGACTTGTTGGGTGGTGGGAAATCATGGTTAGGACACAGACACAGAGAGAGTGAGTTACATAGATTTTGGAGTTTTGGTTGCTATGGCTAGGAGCTGACCGTGGAGGATCGTTGGGTCGCTAGAATTAAGATTAATTTTATCAATTTAATACTTATTTGAAATTTTAACTTTGTCATTTCAATACCAAATTAACATTGGTGAAGTTTGGATTGTGACAAGTAATGGTGAAGGCTAAAATTTTTCCATCCTTACAAATTGCATGAATGTGTTTGTGTGTGTGTGTGTGAGAGAGAGAGACGGAGGGAGCATTAGTGTGTCTAATAAATAGAAGATGAAATTAAAAGACACGAGGGTTATTTGGTTTCATGATTTGCTTTGCTTGAAAAAAAGAATAAAGGTATTTAACTAAAGGCCTATATATAGTTAAAGAGTAAAATTGTCATTTATGAAAGAACTAACAATTGTCCGTGCCTGAAGACACTGTGTACCACAATAAAATCACCGGAATAAAAAATTAAATTCACAAAAATTAGCAAACGAAAAAAAAAAATCATAGCACCCACAAATACTACCACAACATCAAATTGACTATCACGTCAATATTTTCAACTCTATTAAATTCTCACATTATTACTCAGTACTCACAAACAATGAAAATAAAACATTGTTTCTTACATTACAATGAAAATTAAAAACCAAATTTATGCCAGATGTGGACTTTTGGGGTGACAATTGGTCTGGTAATGGACCACTGATACTCAGAAACTCAGTGAAACCACGGGAGTTTCCAAAATTATCCCAAGTGTGTGTGGATGGTCAGTGGGAACTTGGTGAGATACAGACAAATTTAGATGCACTTTTGTGACAAGAAGTACTATCTATTCAATTGCCCCAAGGGGTAGGCAGTGATATAGGCTTATATGGAAGCACGAGACCTCGGGTTGTTTTACTACTAAATCTGCCTGGAATGTTTTAAGAACAGAGGGACAGATCAGTGTGCAAGCTGCAGCCATCTGGAAACAGAAAGTTCCCCCAAGTGCAAGATTATTAGGGTGGAAGATATTTGAAAATGCATTATTGGCTATGGACTCTACTTTTTGTTGGTTTTTTTATGGAGTCTAGTTTGTATATGTGATCCGGATGATGACCTGACCCGAAATAATATTGTGTGGTTTTTAATGGAAAATTTTCTGAGGCTTAGTTCATGAAGCGAAGGCTTGGGCCGATAGAGTTAATCGTGCGTAGGACATATAAACCCTGTTGTTTTGGTGATTAGGGTTAATCGTGGATTATACAGCCGCTCTCTGTATTCAACTTTCTCAATAGTGAAATCCCTACAGCTTCGTGGACGTAGGCAAATTGCCGAACCACGTAAAATCTGTGTCTTGTTCTTTCTTGTTTCTTATTGCTTTATATTCTTGATTTGTTCTTCGATTGTGTGTGTTTGTTAGTAGATTTAAATCGTGTGAAATCCCAACACTTTTCAGCTTCGGGGAGTTTCTTTAGCTAGCAAATGTGTTTTTTGTAACAAAGACCGAGACGGCAGGCCATATTTTTATAAACTGTACTTATGCATGTTCAATTTGGAGTTCGGTCTCAGCTCAACTGAGGGCTCAGGTTAATTGCGAATGAGGATCCGCTCACCAGATATATGAGATTTGTAAGAGAATTCAAACATTTATCTCTGAGCCATACTTTGTTAAGGGGAGTCACTCTATTGGTGTACTAGCAATTATAGAAAGAAAGATGCAACAGGCTTTTTGAGGATCACTGTCTTCATTATGTTCAAAATACATCCAAAATAGTTTTCCCTACTCGATCAGAGGATGTGTGTGGCCACATGGAAGCTGACAAGAAGATAAAAGTGGAATGCTTGTCGAGGGAGGAAGCGTTGGCTCTGTTTCGGAAGAAGGCAGGTAACAACACTCCAAATTCTCATCCAGATATAACAAAGCTTGCAGAAATGGTTGCTAAAGAGTGCAGAGGTTTACCACTTGCTCTCATCACTGTTGGACGGGCCATGGCTGGCAGAAATGATCCCCGTGGCTGGGAAAGGGCGGTATCAAAACTGAGGAAAGATCCATCGAAGTTTGTGGGCATGGATGAAGATGTATTTCACGTCCAAAAGTTCAGTTATGACAGATTAGATGATGATGTCATTAAATCTTGTTTCATTTATTGTTGTATATACCCAGAGGATTATGACATTGCAACTGATGACCTCATAAACCATGGGATTGGGGAGAGAATTCTTGATGAATTTGACGATATATATGAGGCACGCAATCAAGGACATGAGATTATTGGAAACCTAAAGGGTTTATGTTTACTGGAGACTGGTGACACTCAAGAGCATGATGTGATCCGTGATATGGCTTTGTGGATTGGTTGTGGGTCTAGTGGAAAGAAAGACAAGATTTTGGTACTACGACGTGCTGGATTGATTGAAGCACATGGGGTTACTCCATGGAAGGAGGCAGAAAGGATATCAATGTGGGGAAGTAGTATTGGAGATTTCTTTGAGAAACCATCTTGCCCCAATATTTTGACATTCTTTGTGAGACATACTACTCTAGGGAAATTTCCAACTGGGTTCTTCCAATTTATGCCTGCCATAAGGGTATTGGACTTATCATCAAATTTTCAATTGATCGAGTTACCCGTGGGAATTGATAAAATGGTCATGTTGCAGTATCTTAATTTATCAAATACGCGGATCAGGGAGTTGCTTGTTGGGCTCAAGAATCTTAAAAAAATGAGATATCTGCTACTGAATGCTACATATGGGATGGAGATAATTCCACGGCAGGTAATTTCGAGTCTTTCAGAGTTGCGGGTGTTTAGTATATCTGGTCGTGACTCTTCATCGGACATTATTCTGGAAAATAATGTTTTAAGTGGTGGTAGAAAAGCCCTGTTAGAGGAACTGGAGTGCTTGGAACACCTGAATGACATATCCATCACCGTATTTGATAACCTCTCTGTCCAAAAAATACAAAGCTCCCACAACATACAGAAGTGCATAAGTTATCTATGCCTTGAGAGATGTGAGGGTTTGACCTCACTCAGATTGTCGTCTTCATCTCTGCAAGGAATGAAGCATTTAGAGAGACTTGATATGAATTACTGTGAGATGGTGTCTCTGAAAATTTATATAGAACTAGAGGGGACGCTGGGATCCGTACTTGATACTTTTTATATTTCGGAGTTAATAAAGGACGACTATTTCCATAATCTTCGTGTGTGATGTGTATATAGCCTATTGTGATAATCTGTTGGACTTGACATGGCTTATTTATGCTCCAACCCTTCAACTTCTCGATGTAGCTCACTGTGAAGCAATGGAAGAGATTGTCCACCACCACCGTAGTAGAGAGGTTCCAGAGATTGAAAACAGCTCGTGTATATTCTCAAGGCTCGCAACAATAAGTTTGATTAATCTTCCAAGGGTTAAGAGGATCTATCCGCGGGCCTTGCCCTTCCCTTCACTTATGGAGGTCCGTGTAGGGTCATGCGCAAGGCTAAGGGAGCTCCCATTTGATTCAAATAGTGCAAAAAATAGTCTAAAGGAAATCAGAGGAGCAGCATGGTGGTCGAATTAAATACTCTAAGGACCAAAATGACAAAATTGATACAATTATGACTAAACTGATAAAAATGCATAATTTAAGAATCACAAGTATTACCCAATTATTTAATATATTATATTTAGCCCCCTAACTTTTTAAATTTTTAATAATGGTTCAAATCTTTTCTTTTTTAATAAATTAGAGGTTTACTAACCATCTAAAAAAAATATTTTATTTTTGGATTGAGTAAATCAAATGTAATTATCTTGATCTATTTGTATAATGAAAAATATACAAATTTCTCTTTATCTAACACTATATTCGTTACTTTTTAATAATAACTTTTAGTTTTTATTTACCATTTTTTTTATAATAGTAGTCTATAACCCAATAAAATACAATTATATATAAAAGATTGTAACTTGAAAATATTTCAAGCTATTTCGAATAGAAAATTTATCTATAAGATCGATAATTATCTTAACTAAGTTTTGCAATTAAATGAAGAATCATTTTACTACGGACTTGTGATTGTGTACATTGATAAAAAATTAGTAAAAAATAATTTTTATTTAATTAATATACAAAATTTTAGTGATTTTAAAGAACAATATAGTTTATTGAAATACTATGAGTAATACGTGTCTGAAGTGTGATTGTGTACATTGATAAAAAATTAGTAAAAAATAATTTTTATTTAATTAATATACAAAATTTTAGTGATTTTAAAGAACAATATAGTTTATTGAAATACTATGAGTAATACGTGTCTGAAGGCACGGTATAATAGTAATGGTTTTAAGGGGGATGTTAATGGCCGTTGAATGAGTTTGTTTAAAATCGTCAAATGAATTTATTAAAACCTGTCATCTTTTATATTATACATATAATGGGGTTTAATGTACTAAAGAAATTATTTTTTATTTTTTTGTTCAGATTTTGTTTTGCTTAAATAAAAATTAAATTTATTATTTCACAATAATTTTGTCTTGAGTCTTAATTTTTTGTTATTCTTGAACTTAATATTTTTGTATCAACTAGTGAATTATTTTACAGTTATCAGCAAAAAAAAAAAAGAATTATTTTAGTTATATTTTATCTCTTCATAGATATTCTTGATTCCGTCCTTTATATAAGTTTTATATAAATAGTGGGTGGTCCATTCCATCGTTAAAATGTTTTGCAATCTACTAGAAGGTTGAGGGATATTGAAGTTAAAGAGAAAGTGACATTGTGGGAAGCCATGGCATTGGCTCTAGAACGTTTGTTATCCTGTTGTTTTCTTCCAACGATTTTGCGTTTGCCTGTTTTTATAATCAATTAAAGTATTGAATATGGTCCTTAGACAAATGTCTAAATTATTAATAATTTTTTTATTATAAATTTATCACATAATACTTAATTATGGGTACAAATAAATTTGAGTAGCTCTTAATTAAACTTTTATCTAAATTTTGGTCAAAGAGTTATCCAAATTATACAATTTTTTATCAAGAGTTACCCAAATAATTTTTGTGTTCATATTTAGGTATCACGTGACAAGTTTATGATAAAAAATCACATATAAACATATTCAATACTTTAGAGACCAAAATGAGACAAAATTAATATTTTGAGGACCTCTAGAATAATTAATCCTTAATTGAAAATGGGTAATTTAACAACAAAATAATTTATCACTTTTGTAGGTGGTTTATTACTTTTATGGGTGATTTACCACTTTTGTGAGTATTTTTATTACATTTGTTGTAACTATTTTTACTATTTTTTTTTTGATATTATAACAGTGATAAAAATACTCATAAATATGATAAGTTTAATTGTCATTCCAAAATCCAAACAAAGTATACTATCAATAAATTTCAATTCTAACAATTTGCTCTTTGTATAAAACTTAAACTTAATCAAAAAGTCTACTTGATAATTAAATTGGAGTCCTAAATTTTGAAGGCTCTAGGCGATTATTTTAATGAATCAGACTCTAGGGTCAACCTTGTTGTGTCTCCTTCTATTCAAAATATCGAATTGTCTACGCATTTTGTAATGACTGTAGTCTTTGCGAGTCCCTTACTGTCGAGTATTCGTCCATTTAACTGATTAGGTAAGACAAAATTAATCATTAGATAACACACACAGATTAAAGGTAATAACCATATTTTATTTTAATTTATCAAAAATCTTGCGTGGACCATTATAAGGTGGTGTTATAATAAAGATATTTAATGTTACTAAGCAGTGTTACATAATTTTTTTTCTGGTAATTTAGACATCTAATATATATTAAATATTATATATATGTTATTTCATACATATGCAATCTGCATACAATTGTTCGATAGTATAATTCATATGAATTATACAAAAATGGTATCGTGCTATTAATTATTATTTTTGTTGTATTTTCATACATTGTTCATATAAAATAATGCATCTACGTTGAAAAAATTTTATTGGGTTATATATTTTGAAAAAATTGACAATATTTTTTTAAAAAATAATAGGTAAAAATTAATTTTAAATGATGTAATCAAAGAAATGAAAAAATAAAAAATTGTTATTTAGTATAATGAGATCAATTTTTTAAACGCTCAAATTTTATATTTTATTATACTTTCACGCATGGGTTATGAGTAATTGACTTATATAATGGATAAAATATTGTAAGTTGTATAAGTTTTTGTTATCGTATGTCGAGTTTTTATAAATTCCGTGGTTTAAGAGATAAGTTTTTGGGTTTGTTGACAATATAATTTTTTTAGGTCATATTATAACTAATCGAATATTTCTAATTAATCGAATATCTACCTTTTTATAATAGGTATATTTGTCTCGTATGTGCATCATCTTAAATTCAACTTTCTGTCTTTTTTCTTTTTTTTTTAATTTTAATCTTATGTCGCCATTTATTGAGGTTCGAAGGCCACATGGTAATAGGCACCCATGACTATATGGGTCTCAATTTAATAAATAGATTATATTAAAATTAGACATAAAGAACACAATTACTTGGTACGACAAGTAGAAAATAAATATTTCATAAATATTTAATTTTTTCTATAATATCATTTAAGTTATTGTAAAAACTAAATAATATTTAATAAATAAGATATATTGACACAAACACGATAATAATCGATAATGACATGAGCAATAATAAGACACGATTGACAATGGTAAAGTTTATTCATTAATTATTGAATTTATTGTTAATCTAACAAATTAATAAATTAGATCTAAGTTGCATTATAATCTATTTTTACGATTGGCCTTCGATATATCTTCTACTTCTCTTTAGTTTATTTCATTGACTATAGTCATAGCTAAAGTGAGATCGTTTCTGGTCGATCAAGGAAGAAAGAAGTTGTTGGAAAAGATTTAACTCAATCCCAAAGGTTTTGGAGGAGTTAAAGGTAATTTAATTTGTCCAATCATTTGCTTCTTATGCTTGATATTATGTAAATTTGACACATACTTGATTTGATCGAATTGTCCTTCCACCTTCCTTTGATTTGGACTCTGACGGCCGGCGTAGATCTCATGAGACCAGTCCATTGTTACTTTGAAAAAAGTCCTGTCTTTTTCCTTTGCTATTAGGAGAGTAAGCAATTTTTATTAGTATTAATACTGGACCTTATAATTGAATTGATCGTGTCATATGCAACGTCCATTAAAGTTGGCTCGTTAATGTCTATTAATTTAAACTTCTTCTGGTTTATAGTTGTTATAGGAAGTGGAATTCATGAGAGATATTTGTGAACAATGCAAACTGGAGTGGATTAGCCTTAATAATTTAGTGAATGAAATTAAAGGCCCTAAATTTAATTTTTTGAAAATAAAAGGAAAAAAATAAACAATAAAACTAAAAAGCTACTAAAAATCAACTCTTAACCCTGTAAAAAAGCCAAATTCAAAATTAGCATCGTAATTTTTCAATTATTCTCTCTCGATGTCTCACTAACCATCAAGTTATGATAACAAAAGTTTGAATATAAAAATTTAATTATTTTTTTAAATTTTAAAATAATTAAATAAATTTATTATTAATATTTTTTTTTGTTTTATACCCCCAAAATGTTTTAGGGCGGCCCTTGTATGCTTTGTGTTGGGTCTTTTTGTGTTACATTTGTATTTTTCTAATGAGTTTGAATTATTACAGAATTAAAGAATTTTTTTACTCAATTTAACTTGCATAAAGATCAAATGAATTTTTATTTTATAATACATCAGTGTTGGGTTTTCTTAAGAGATAAAAAAAAATTTAGTGTTAAACTTTTGATTCATGTGTATCAAATATGTGTAAGACATGTTAATTTGAGATATTTGATATGATTAATTAAATAAATAAATAAAATTTAAAATTAATTATATTCAATATAAACATAAAATGGGATCATGAAATACCATACGAATCCTGTCTCAGGGATAAGCAGTGCCTTTGTTAATATCTGTTAGGACTGTTTTTGTTTTGTATTGATGCGGCACTGTTTGGACTAACAACACCTAGGGCCGTCCATAGGCCGGGCTTGGCCCATGAACTTTTTTTTCGGGGCGGGCTTGGGTAGTGTAGACCCAAGCCCGTAACTGAGCAAGTGGCGAGCTAGGCTGGGCCGAGCCAAGCTTCGCAGCCTAGCCCGACACCTATTGGGCAGGCTTTCTAGACGGGCTTTTGTTGGGCTTG